AGCACAATCAGCTGTATTGTACCTTTTGAAAAAAGCGCTTTCCGTTGCTGTTTATTGTTTCAAGCCTTCATAATATCCTTAAGTTCTGTTTTATTGCCACTCAGTCAGTCCTGCTGTTACAAAATGATCCATTTATGAACATATTAGGGTTTGGTTTAAGCCAGATTGATCTGCGATTGTAAGATTATTCAGATAGATGTATCCTGGGAAAACATTAAGTAAGTTATCAATAATTGATGTGGGGTTTTTTGTAGGAAAGTATTTTTTTTTGGCTCAAGAGGTAGTTGTTTAAATGATGAAACCTCACTGGTTTTGTGTTTAGAGGATCTACAGTGCAATGACATTCATTTCATAGTTTACTGACAAAAAACAATGGGGCCAGATAAATTCAGCAGAAACTTGAGGGGGCAGGGACAAAACACTTCAGTTCCTCTTTACTTTGTGCATCTACGTAAGGTGTATCAGACACTTCTCTATAAAAGTACCACAGAGAGGACTGTTTCTATTCAAAGAGAGGTCACTTTTGAAGGAGTTACTAATATATATTTCAAACACTAGTCTGGATCTAGTGAAGATCTAAATATGGCACACATCGGACATGGTAAGAAAATGACTTGTCTTGCTTTTTAAAACGTTTGGCTTCTTCCCATGAATTAAACTATTTCAGAAACTACAATTTTCTGTTTCTGCTCTTGATTCTGATTCAAAAGCAATGTGTTTATTATCCTCACACAGTGGTAAACAGAGATGAAAAGTAACTTAATAGCATAGTACTGGATAGATGCTGGAACACCAGACAGATTATGTAGATGTGAATCATGCGAATGATTTGGTGATCCAAGTTCTGTGCTGTTCCTCTTGAAATCTGGTTAAAATTCAGTCCGCACTAATTAAGAACCTAAAAAAACTGAGAATATTTAGTCCTTAGTTTTCTTTAGGGAACAGTAGCGTAGGGATCTGATACTAAGGAACCACAGAAACTAATTAGGAACTAAAAGATTTTTTTGCACGTTGCAAGCATGAGGCTTTGAGACGATCTTCTGGCATCACTGGTGTCAAACAAGTCTCTATACAGATTAATTTACTTTTATATTTTCCTGCCACCTACATCCTGCAGCCACTAAACCCATTTAGATCTATGCATACAGCGTCTATACAATATATGTATCTGGTATTCAGGAGCCGAGATATGAATGAACTTAAAATGATTCAGTCAACCAATCTTCCTGTGTTTTACAAGCAAGCAGTTAAATCATGACAGGATCATTGCTCCGCCTCGTTTGTCCTTGTTTCCTGGTTGGAGTAAACAGCATGACCAAGGTCACTGTCGCAGACGTCATCAGTCGTGGGCTCATTTGACAAAAATGAAATCATTTCACCCTCTGAGTAGAGTAAACAGGTTTATTATAAAACACTGGTGGACTGGATACCACATCGAGAGAGGGTGGCACCAGACTGGTTACTATGGAAACAAGGACTGATTCATGGGTTGGGGTCTTAAGAAGCTCAGGAATATGTGATTTGCACAAAGGTAGTGAGTGATTAGTGTCCAAGCTCAACCCTCGCTGTGCTGGTGGAGAGCAGGAGTGTTTCTAGTCGACCCTGGAAGTTCAGTTTGTTGTTGGAACAACATGAAAGCAATCTGTGATTTCTGGAAAAAAAAAGAACCTGCTGCCAATAATCTACACTCCCACTTTGAGACAGCAGAGAAAATTGATTGCTCACACTTTTTCGAGGCATTGTGAAACATGCAGATGATGTTGCAGCTAATGATTGCAGATAGGCGTAGACAAACATCCATTGTGCCCACATGGGTGATGATGTTTTAGATCGTTTGAGGGTTCCCAGGCAGAAACATGAGCAGGGTGTTAATGTCAGCAGCCCTGGCACCATATAGATGGTGCATAGAGGCTGCTCTGTGTGAACCAGCGCTTGTGTGTCAGATGGGAAACCACACATGGCAGGAAATGTTGTGAATTGACCACTTTATAGTGCAATGTTCCACATATAGTTCAGTCATATATGACCACAGCTCTATATAAACATTCACTCATTCATTCTGCACATGTACATATGTTAAGAGATGTATATGTAAAAATGTGATCAAATTTGACATTTTTGGACAACTAGGTAGGTTTGCACTGAGGGGATTTGGACTCATGGCCCTTCAGACAGATTTTTGTGAACTTTTCTTTTAATGTGCTACCTGTCCTCTGATGTTGCAAATTTAAAGCTCTCCTGGGGGAATTGTGCGCTCAGGGATGGTCTGTGTCAGCTTGTCTCAGTGTACTACGTGAGCAGACCAACCACCACCAAAATAAAAAGCACACAAATGTTAAACTTTAAACACGATTGTTTGAAATGACAATACTGGCTGTTGGGAGATAAATTATCTGAGGATAAGACTATGGTGTTGTCACAGAAACCCACTCTACGGAGACTTTGAAATATAAATATGAATATATTAATTAATATATTAGCATTTGTCACACAGCTCAGGCAGTTGTTATATTAAACTGAAAAGTTAGGCTTTCAGATCTGTAATATATATAATATATAGTCTGTATATAACAAAAGCCTTCATACATTTTTTAGTCCTCCAAAACAAAACCTTGGTGGCTGTTGTTCTCTACATTGTGCACAACATCAGTGTTACTGCCTGTAATAAGAAAACAGAGACAGAAGACAATGCTGGAGGTGATCAAATGCTGCATCAAATGATCCAAAACAATAGCATGTTATAATACAATGAGTTCAATACAAGTCATTTTTTCTCTCGTTGAAGAGCAGTCATTATCCACTTCTGAATTAACAAAAACCTTTGAGAGAAACTAAGAAGCTAAATCTACATTCAGCAGCACTTCCTGGCAACACAGAGCACCTCCAAGTGTAAAGCGAATGTCTTCTAGATGATGCGTGCATGTTTACACCTCGACACGTATTAGCATATGTAGACACACCTTTGAAACTGCTGATAACCTCTGATTGTCCACAACTTCCATATTTACTTTACAGCTTTTTAAAGGCTTTTCACAAAAAAATGTAAAACATCTGCTGATATATTCTCTGTGATGAAATAGACAGAGTAAGAGAGAGCAAGCAAAGAAGGAAAACAAAGATTTCTTGTTACTTCCTCACTTTTCTAAATAGAATTTGTATGTTGTGTGTGTGGGCGTGTGTGTGTGTGTGTGTGTGTGTGTGTGTGTGTGTGTGTGTGTGTGTGTGTGTGTGTGTGTGCGCGCAAGCTGGCTAGCTGTTCTGGTAGCAGCTCTGCACCACTGCACCTGCTCTTTAGGCTGCAAGCACAAGAGGGGAGATGCATGTGAAAAAGCTAGACAGGAAGAAGTCTCATACCTTTTTCAAAGCGACAAAAGGTTTCAGCTTGGGCTGATTGACGTCAGTTTGGTCAAAGACAGGGCATCAGAGACAGATATAGACAGAAACTGGATGATCTGTATCTGGAACAAAATGCACTTTGCTGGTAAGTTGCAATCAAAACTTAAAACGGTGAATCGCAAAAGGGCTTTAAAAAAAAAAGGGAAGCACAATTCTTCATACTCTTGAGCTCAAAGCTCTTGGCTTTAATTTACTCTTAACCTCTTCATTGACTAAGTGAAAATAAACAGTTAAACTCCATACTTTTAGTTATTAACAATGTTTCTGTTGTTATTATTTATATTTCTTTTAAACACTGGTGCAGGAGTAAACTACAAAACTGTATCTGTGTGAATGTTCCATATGTGAGTGTGAAGGACAGTTTACACTCGTTTCTTTTGTATGTTGGCACACTGTCAGTAAGCCAGGAAGGCCCCCTCCCCTGTGTTAATACTGTCTATTGTGAGCATGTGCAGGGTGGATGTGGTGAGCATAAAGTCTGCTATGGAGCTATTTAGGGAAACTTTGGAACGGAAAGTGTGTAAAGGAAAGAATAATAATGAAAGAAAACAGAGGTACAAGGCATTACTCAACAATAAAGCACATGTCGGACCTGCTTGGAGCTTTACTGGTCGAATTCAATACTTGTTTATCAAAGCCATTCTTCCCCACAAAGTGTTTTTTGTGTTCTCACTGACAGGCAGCTTTGGGTTGAATATAAATCTGTGGATTAAGATAATAGCAGTTTGGGTGAATGATGAGAAAGATGTTGCTAAAGACATTTTTTTTTCTCACTTTTTCTATAAAGGTGGCCAGTGGACAAGACCAAAAGGGAAGCTGCAGGCACTGAAGAGTGCAGACGAATGGATGCCATGTTAGAAGGGCTGATACAGACAGAACCTCTTCTACACAGAGGACAGAGAGTCGGGCTCCAGTGATGATCCCCACATCCTCACTCCACAGGAAGGAGCATCCCGCAACTGGAATACCACCAAAACACACATCTGCACACCTGGACGGACCCCTGCAACGAGAAACAGCTGAATATTCCCCTCAGTCTTTTTCATTTACACTCAAGAACTCTCTGCGTTGTGAATACAGAGTGTGGCACCTCACAGAAGCATCTATGATAGGAAAGGTTGAGAGAGTTCAACCATCTTAAGTGGTGTGAATGAGGAGTATATTTGTTGCTTTCACTCAGAAGGGTTTTCATCTTTGTGCACAGCGCTCCTGTTTCACACCAGCACCATAGATACCAGGAAAGAAATTTAACTGGGAGAGCAGAAAGCTCTGGACCAGAGTGGAGAAGAGACTGTGGGACTGGAGTTGGTTTCTCAGGCACCATGCAGTCAGATGACCTCTTCATCCGCAAGTTTCGGCGTCAGAATGTGCGGCCGCCGATTGCCACCGTCAACTTTGACCCCAAACCGGAAGCAGGAGTAGTGGAGTGGCCCCCCAGGAGGGATGGTGACGGAGCTGATGGCGACAGCCTCACTCCGAGCCGCGTGGGGCTGAACCTGAGGTCAGTGGGCCGGGGCCACATCATGCAGAGAAGTAACAGCGATGTAACCTTAGGAGACTTGGACTCCTCCGGGAAGGCAGGGGGGAAAGCAGCTCGGGCGGTTGGTGAGAAGGTGGGTGTGGGGGCTCAGGGCGACTCAGGTGTGCTGCTACATAGGGAATACGGCAGCCTGTCGTCACTGGAGAGACAGACTCAAGCCCAGGAGCCAAGCACAGATGACCAGGGGCCCCTGAGTCCAAATGCCCTCCGCTTCAAAGATCCTTTCCTACTTTTAGGACTGCAGGGCAACCCTCCGGAGCCTGATGGATTCTTTCGGGGTCTCTCTGTTTCCACAGGGGACTCCCCAAAACCTGCCAAGCCGCCGAAGCCTGAAGGTCTAAGTAAGAAAACCAAGCCTGGGCCCCCTCAGATCCCCCAACCAGGTCCGTATGACAACCTCGGGGGCGGAGCCTGGGTGAGGAACTTTGCCCACTACGATGTTCAGAGCATCCTGTTTGACCTCACCGAGGCAGCCACCAACAGAGACAGCATTGGGCGGAAAAAGAATATCACCTCAGGGGCTTCAGCCGCCTCCCAGCTGCGCCCCCTCTCCCAGGCCGCTCCCTCCTCACCTGCACAGGGCGGGGGAGGCAACGGGGTCAACGCAGATGACCCTGAGCAGTCGCTGCTGCTGGACGAGGGGGATGGCAATGATAATGAACTCCTGCTCAGCTGCCCCCACTTCCGCAACGAGACCGGGGGAGAAGAGCAGGTGGGTCTGGGTCGATCCCAGGGCCGACGGGGACTCTGGTCCAGCCTGCGAACCCCCAACGATGCCGTGTCAGTCCTGGAGGAGCCCAGAGAGAGTCACGTCCAGCAGCAGGGCAAAAGCAACTACTTTATAGAGCATGCAGATCTGGGAGCCCATTACTATCGCAAGTACTTCTACATGAAAGGTAGGTTTACTGATTCTGTTTACGACGGTTAATGGAGAGAATAATATCACAGGGAGAAAAATCAATTTCTGTTCAGCTTAACAAAAACTGGAAGTACACTGTGGTGCTATTCAATTATTAAACAATCACTTATCAAGTCTTTATCAAAATTTCTCTCAGATTTGTCATCTAATCATTTAGAGACTATGCAAGAATTATTCAAGAGGAGGGGGAGGTTAGGGAGGGTTGGACTTGTCAGCCTGGATTTATATTTTATTTCAGGGTTTTCTCATCAAAATCAGCATCTCATCTCCCCACCCTGATCATTTCCGTACAGTCCCTTTTCAGCATCGTATTATTTCAACCCCCCACACTGTCACAGTTTTTTGACCTGGTGCATCACTTTCATTATTGGTCTTCACAGTTGTACGTATGTGACTGTACTTTCATCATAGAACACCAGAATTTCTTCGGCATGGACGATCGCCTCGGTCCAGTGGCCATCAGTTTCCGTCGAGAGGAGAAAGAAGGATCCAGTGGAGCTCAGTACAATTACAGAATCATCTTTCGCACCACAGAGGTAAAGTGGCGTTTTCTCTTCCCTCAAAGCTCTCTTCAGGTTCAGTGTGTGTAAAATTGATTTGACTGGATGTGATGAATGTGAACCCTCTCCTCAGATGAAGACACTGCGAGGTTCCATCTTGGAGGAGTCAGTGCCCTCTGCTGCTCGTCACACGACCCCCAGAGGCTTGTCTCCCAAGAGGCTGCTGGAGTTCATCATGCCTGAGTTGAACCTGCACTGCCTTCGCTTGGCCTCAAACTCCCCCAAGGTCCGGGACACCCTGCTGAAGCTGGACGAACAGGGGGTAAGTGAGGATACGTCTGCTCACACCAAGGACTGCAGCATGTGTCAGGCAGAAATCTTTTCAGAACATCAGATAGTGTCAAATAGCATCAGAACCCCTGAGTATCTAGAGCTTGTAACTAAAAGCACATACTGTACAGTCTATTAAAAATCTCACACTGCTGTCCACAGTGATCGATCACATGTGTTTAGGTGTGAAGGTGCCTGTTCACTCACTTTGTAAGACAGCAGCTGCTGATTTTGTCTGATGTTACTTTTTCACATCAAATAGGTTGTGTATTATAAAGAAAAAGTAGATGTTATAAGCGTCAGCTTCAGTATCAAAATGTTGATACTATGCTGCTAATTTATGTCGACATTTTTTGAAGTGTTATTTACAGACAGAAATGAAATTCAATTTCAGTTTTCATATAATAATAATTAGTCTGTCTATCACTGTTTCAATAAATAATTTTAAATGTTCAACATCATGATAAGTATTTGTCACATGTTCTCAGAGCCAAAACAAAGTGTTGTCTTCAAGTTTCTTATTTTGTCTGACAAACACATTGAAAGAATAAAAAAAAAAACAGAGATTAAACTAAAAAAGCAATCAGATTGTCAGGGTTAAGAAACTTAAAACATTTTTTTTTTAGATGTGTTGATCCTCTGTTTATCATCATTTAAGCCCCGTCACAGGAACAGAAGCTTTATTTTTCTGACTGTGTTGCAGCGGCTGCTGAACATTAAAACTCACCCACGACAGCCTCTAGCTTCACCTCTGGGGTTAACTAGATCAGAAAAGCAATCAGCAACTTTGACAAAATAAACTGTCTCTCTATTTGAAGCGTTGCAGCAGCCTGAACTCTGGTGTAAAAGCTGAAGGGGATTGATAAGGACAATAATGTAATGTATGCTATGAGGGTGTGTAACATTGTGCTTATTGAGCTGTAAAGTAAGATGTCAAATGATGAGGGTACTCCATTATATGAAAGGTCTTGGTAGATGGTATGGTTGAAGACGGTATAAATGTGCACATTTGACTGTGTGGTGAGGATAATTCTAAACTCTTTGCTTCTCTGTCCTCTGGCATAGCTGAATTTCCAGCGAAAGGTCGGGGTGATGTACTGTCGGGCCGGACAGAGCTCAGAGGAAGATATGTACAACAACGAGAGCTCCGGGCCAGCGTTTGAGGAGTTCCTGGATCTGCTCGGGGAGCGGGTGCGGCTGAAGGGCTGGGAGAAATACAGAGCTCAGCTGGACAACAAGAGTGAGCTGAAAACACGCACCACACCCCGATCTATTGGCTGCATCTCACCTTGTCGCAGGACCATTATCCGAAGGGCATCAGTGCGCCACTGAAAGCCCAAGATAACTCCTATCTAGCCACATGTAATCTGAGTAATGCCTGCAAATAAGCATAGTCACTGCCGATTATCTCCGAGCTGTTTTCCCTTCAGTGAGCAGCAGAGAACAGCAAATGGGACAGATTTCACCCGGACTGTGACAGTTTGAGTTTTCATTCAGAGATGTTGACTGATTTTGCTAAATCTCTTCCTGTCTGTCTCTGTGTGTGATGTGTGTGTGTGTGTGTGTGTGTGTGTGTGTGTGTTTCTGTGTGTCTTGTGCCTGTGCAGCGGACTCAACTGGGACACATTCCCTATACACACGCTACCAGGACTACGAGATTATGTTTCATGTGTCCACTATGCTGCCCTACACAGCCAACAACACACAACAGGTAAAATTTACCCAGACAAAACATTTCCTTTTCCCGCCCTTTGTGTTTCTCCAAAGCCATGTTCATGTCTTGGAGGTGAGTTTTCTCTGATGTTTCACCTCCATTCTTTAAAATTGCATCAGTGTCAATTGAACCTTCATTATCCATCTCTGTTCAGACTGTCATGTTTTGGTAAACGCTTTAGAAAAAGCCTCTGTGCTCTGCAACAAGCATGACATAAAAATCCTGCCCCCCAGTGTTCACTCCCACCTTCCTGTTCAGCTGACTGTCACTTCTTTATGTGCAGTCTGTGGTTTAAGCCTGTTTGCTGTCATTTACAAAGAAACTGGACATGGCATACTGATATAGATTAAAAGCTTAAATAAAATAAAACATGGTAGTGACAACACTCTGGTGTTCTTCTTTAACCTAGCAGCTACATGGTGGCTACAGTTTGGGATTTGTAGTTTTAGTTGAATGACTTGTTTGTTTATTCTGTATTTACATCTCAATTTCATTTTTGTTGATTGAGTGGCATTTTTTTCAACTCATAAAAAGTTTCCTCATGAATAATGAATGATCTTGAAGTTACAAGATTGACTTAATCATTCTTTTAATATTGAGTTGTGCTAACTGTAATAGTAACATGTTAGTTAGCCCAGGGTCTTTACTTTAACTGAATTCTTTTTACAAGTTAACTTTTATTTTAATTAACAGCTTTGATTTTCATCATATTGTTTAATGGATCTCCATTAGCTGTTGGACTGTTGGACAACTACTTCCCCTGGGGTGTATATGAAAAGAAAATACATATAATCAACAAATGTTTACGCTTACGCTACAGACAGTAAATAATAACAATACAATTACATCCAACAATACATATAAGAGACATATACAAAACATTGAAATAGAACAATTTAAATGGGTTGATTGGAAAAATCATCTCAGTCCACTTGAACATGTAAGACATGTTTGCTTAATGTTTTTGCAGGCCTGTCTTCAATGATAATCTATTTAGCTGTTTGTTAAAACCTTTTTGTTATTGATTCTTGAGATATAAAGAAAGGCAAACTGTTCCACTGAGATAAGGCTCATTCTCCTCCCAGTTTTATTTTACTGTGACTCAGGCCTGTTTGTCTAATAAAATTCTTTGTGTGTATGTGTGTGTATGTGTGTTTTATCTCGTCAGCTGCTGAGGAAGCGACATATCGGAAACGACATTGTGACGATCGTTTTCCAGGAGCCAGGCGCACTGCCCTTCACTCCGAAGTCCATCCGCTCCCATTTCCAACACGTCTTCATCATCGTTCAGGTTCATGAGCCCTGCACTGACAACACCTATTACAGGTATGAGTTCTTCCTCTGTTTCACTGTGGAAAATCCCATTATTGAAACAGGCATTCAATTTTCAGACTCTTTTTATTGATTTCTTTTCTTTTATGGGCTGAAATCTGTTGAAATAATGAATTTGTGGTGAAGTAAAACAAGTTATGAAAAGATCTGAGCTTTAAGGAAAGACACAAAATAGTTCACAGAAGATTTTACTCAACGTATCGTTCATGATATGCATGTATATGTGTGTAAAGATGAGTGTTACTATGTACATTGTTTTATGTGTCATCTCACATCATAGTAGTAGTGGATCAGCTCAGTGGGTAGCACAAATATGTTCACCACTGCAGCAGATTCAGTGTAAATGTTTGTAATTCTGCAGGGTACTACAGAGCACTCTCTACTACTGAAAACAAGACATAGATCCACTGTGCCCTCTCTCTTACTCCATTATTCCTCTGTTTGTCTCTCCCTCTCAGGGTGGCTGTGACACGCTCTAAAGACATGCCATTATTTGGCCCATTGTTTCCTAAGGGCGCCCGATTCCCTCGCACGCCTGCCTTCAGAGACTTCCTCCTAGCGAAAGCAGTGAACGCTGAAAACGCTGCGGAGAAGTCCGAGAAGTTCCGCTCCATGGCCACTCGCACGCGGCAGGAATATCTGAAGGACCTGGCCGAAAACTATGTGACCACAACACCCATCGACTCCTCCACCAAGTTCCCCCTGCTCTCTCTGGGAGGCAAGCGCAAAGACAAACTGAAGGGCACCAAAGGTGCCGAGCTGCACAGTGCCGGGGCGCTGGTGTGGGCGGTGATGGTCTACAGCAGAGATGAAGGGGAGGCAGGAGAGCTCAAGCTCCCCTGTCTGCTCGGGGTGTCAGCCGAGTCGGTGGTGCTCATTGAGAGGTACACACGCAGGGTGGTGTTTAACTGCTCCTGCCGAGACGTCATTGGCTGGAAAGCAGTGACAGAGACTAAGGAGGGGGGGCCTTGCTTGGATATCTTCTATGAGCGTGGGGAGTCAGTTTCTATCTGTGTGATGGAGAGCCAGGTGGAGGATATACGAGAGGTGGTGCAGAGGCTAGAGGTGGGTGATTGTGGCCTGATTGGAAATGTTGCAGTGAGTGGTGTATGTCTTTCTGAATCATTCATCTTTTTCTGCACCTCTGCAGCTGGTTACGCGGGGTTGTGAGGCGCTGGAGGTCACCCCCCTGCGTGATGGTGTCGGCCAGCCGGGCTTCCTGATGAACGAGGAGGGCTTTGTGACCGAGCTGCAGCGGTTCTGCTATGCTGAGAGCGGAGGCCTGCAGCTGTGGGCTCGTGTGGTGCGGCTGTGCGGACACTCGCTGGTTCACCTGAGCCCCGAGGAGAGGACCAGGCTGCTGCGCACTGCGCACAAGATCCACATCACTGTCATCCCACCGGACGAGAACGGCAAGCCTCGCAGGTGGGTGAGGCTGCAGATAGAAGGAGAGGGGGGAGGGAGGGAGAGAACAGAAACGAGGGCACTTTTGGGTCAATAGACACAGGGTGAGACTAGAAGGGGCTCGTGGGTATAAAGCAAGCTGCGGAAAGTGAAGAGTAGTCCCAGTGAGGGGTGAGAGAGAGGTTGACAGCTGATAAGGAGGAGAGGGTTAGCAGGACAAGTCAGTTCAGAAAAACAAGAGAGGTGGCAGTCTGGGGTCACGGCTCATTCTGCTGTTGATGGCGGCCTGCAGTCAGTGTCACATCAGCTGGATAACAACCAATCAATCCCCCTAATGATGTTTAATCACTCTGGCACAGGCTGTCCCACTGTTACTAGAACGTTTTCCATTCAGCTGATAGACAGACAGATAGAAGCGTTCAACTAAATAAAAACCAATATTAAACTGGGCACCTCAGCAGCTCTCAGTTGATGAAGTAACATTTCAAACCTGGCTGCAGAAGCATCCACAGAGAACTCCCCTGGTTTATTTATATTTCAGCCCTGCAATGCTTGTTCTGTGACAACAAAGCACAAATTGTCACACAGATGTCATAATTCATGATAAGAAATGGAGGCTCTGTGATTTCAAAGGAATATAATAGAAGTTCAGACAAATATAGCCCTTTTTTTCCATTTGATCTTTGTTTTTGGTTTCTAGATGGATTAATGACTCAGCAGTGAAATGAGAAGCTGGACGAAAAAGAGGGTCTTGTTGGTTTTTTTCTTACTGAGTATGTTGTTGTATGTTCTGCAGAAGTTTCTCCGAGCTGTACCAGAAAGCCATCAAGGATGCAGAGTGTAAGCCTGGCGAAGATCAGTCAGGAGAGGCCTGGGTGCTGGACGAGCGGGAAGAAGAGGAGGAGGATGAGGAGGAGGAGGCGAAGGAGGACGAGCTGAAGGCGGGTGGGGTTAGTGAAGCGGACATAATGGAGGTGCAGATGGAGGCCGAAGAGGGCGAAGAGCAGTCGTGTGATAAAGGGCAAAGCGAGAGAAGTCATGAATCGCTCCTCACGACGCCCAGCTTACCTTTGTTACGGGCCACTTCTCTGCAGGACCAACCAGCCAATCAGAGTCCGGAGGGCAGCGCCTCGCAGCTCACACGCAGCTACTCATTGGAGAGACAGCCGTCCTACAGGGATACGTGTGATGGGTGAGTGTTAACTAAAGCTAACGTTCATTTAAGCTGTCATTAGTTGTCATGAGAGTGCTACGGAGGCAAGATAAGACAACTTTATGTTATTAAAAACCACAAGAAATGCTGCTTTGGTAGATGTACCAATCCATCTAGATACATCTGCGGTTGGGTAGACCATCAGCTCATCCAACATGGCTGAAAATATCCTCAAACTAAGGCTGACGCATCACAATTAAAACTCAGTCAGTCAGGGCGTCACTTTCTCAGCAAAGGACGAGCCACAAAGAAAGGACACCAACCACTGCGTCACTTTCCTTTACTGGATTGTGTTTCCTTAATGCTGTAGCATTTGAATTCTGGTTCACATGTTAAACTTACTTTAATATAAGTGCAGATGTTCTTCTTTCAACTTCTGTGAAAATTATTGATAGTTTTTTTTTCTTTTTGTTGACAATAACTCGAGTAAATGACAACAAGAAAGCACATTCCTTTCCCTTTTGTGTCCATAATGTCTGCACTGTGCACACCATAGTGTACTACTTCATCCTCCTCAAGTACCAAAGCCCTGGCCTGACAGTCACAGGAATGTTTACAAAGTGTTAAGCTCAAATAAGAGAGAAAAATGTGTTTAAAAGCAGCATGACATGTATGTGTCTGCCTGGCAAATGATTTGAAGCACACTCGCTGGTTTCTCTCCAAAAAGTCACATCAGGTTGAGAAGGATGTTGTGCATAAAGGAAATATTCATGAGGATAATATTAAACTCTGCTGCTGACCAAAATGAATTTGACTGCTTTTTATTATAAGGCAAAGCAGAACTGAATAATTTGACTGAACTGCTTCAGATCTGATATTTTCTGATAGATAATTTTGTGAGTGCAGGATAGCAAATGTCAATCAAGGCAACATCTAAGCCGCCCCAGAGATTACTTGTCTAAGTGCTCCAGTTTCTGTTTTGACCTCTGGACTGGATAATAAAAATAAAAAAAATGTCACGAAGCATCAACAGCAGATTTGCTTTGTGTTTTTTTCCCCCACATCTCCTCCTCGATGCCTGGCGGACAGACACATGTACGACAACGTGGCACTGAAGGTTGAGCACCACATCTATGAAAACGTCGGGGAGCTGAGAGACGCCACACCTGATCTGATCCTGGCTGTCAAACCCAAGGTTCCCCTGGAGGACGAACAGGTGACAGACTGAGACGAAAGGACATCTGATCGGTTTCAGCCCAACACTCCATCCCCTGTCTGACAGTGTCGTCTCCCCTTTATCTCTGTCTTTATGTTGTCTTCAGTTCATGGGGGCTGATTTTGGCGATGACAAAGCCTCAGCGAGTGACTCCTCTCTCTCGTCTTCCCGGTTGTCATGTGTAGACCGAGATGAAAGAAATTCACGAGCCCTAAGTCTTCATAACTCCATCACCAAGAGTAAGTGCTTCCCTGTACCTGTAGATTTTTCAAATTAAACTTTAAATACACACTGACAGTAACAACACATATTTATTTTGTATTCTTTAACAAAAGGAATATTAACAGCAAGAAAAGTAAAAACATAAATGTATGAAAATGAATTAGGAGGCAAAGAGAGACCCAGAGATATTATGATATTGAGATATGATTATCTTATGACTGATCATGGACTCAGAACAATGCTCCTGTCTCAGAGACAACAGCTGACACAACTGTTCAAATGATGCCAAAATGGAACAATTACACATGTTTGCGGATCATCTCTGCCTGATTTGAGCCTCAAATTCCTTTCTTTCCAGATTTTTTCTGCCTTAAACCCCTCTCTTCATTATCCTCCCTCTGCTTCCCTCTGCATCCCCTTTGTCCCTCCTCTTTCATCCACGCTGCCCCCTATTCCGCTAATCTAATATCACCCCTGCGCTGCTGCCACCCCCTGCCAGGGCTGGGATAAAAGGGGGACAGATGGGTAGTGGGAGGGGTGGAGTTTTAGGCAGCCCCAAATCAAGGAACCCCTCTTACACCATCTGCTCTGCCTCCGCTGAGACTAAGAGACTCATCATTTAACTGCCGTAAGAGCACACTTGCTCATCCTCTCATCAGATTCTTCTGATTTTTGTGGGGGTGGACTCTGGAGCTGCTCATTGTTTTTGCATTACGTTCTTTCACAGGAAGTCAGCAGGTTTTTTTAAAAGCATCATAACTTTTTATACTGAGTATCCAAGAGTCAGCAGATCTAAAAAAAAAAAAAAAACATTTACGGCATCTTGAATATCATTTTCTTTAATTAAATTTGCCTCCAATAATTTAACAAAACTTGATGATATTAAGCTAATTTTCTTACATTGTGACTTTCATCTACTGTGCTTTGGTCGTATGCCGCCTTAAATTCAATCTTCACCGGTGAAAAACATCTTACAATGTCAGAAAACTCTTCTCAGTGAAACCTGCAGGCGTTCTACATACATCATGACATCTCCTCCTTGTCCCTGTATACCCTGGGATCTGACCAGCGTTAACACAGCAGCATCCCCCAGTGGTGGCTCTTTGTTACTGTAGAGCCAAAGTGAATCTGGCTTCTTATAATGACTACAGTCTCACTGTTGTGCTGCAGTGTACACTCATCTGCTACACTGAGATGTGTTTCAAATGGCAGCTTGATAAATCTTGGCCTCTCTCTCTCAGTTCTCTCAGAGACAACAGACTCTACTGAGGAGGAGTGGCAGTCCATCGCCGACCTGGCCACAGCCTGCCGCAGCATCCTGGAGGCTTTGTCACGAGAGGGTGAGGAACTATTTACACACGCACACCTCACTTACTGTCTGTATAGATGTAAAATAATACAACAAGCTGTCGTAGTTGTCGGCACAATCACAAACACCAAGAGAAACCCGGATTCGATCCGACAGCTACAGAGTTCTCCCTATGTTAGATAGACTTTTGATAGATATACAAGAACCAGTAATGTAATTTATTTTGTGTACACTATATGACCAAAAGTATGTAGACACTCCTGGCCTGTTTTTCATTGTTTTGGCGCCTTTATTCCAACTATAGAGTAATATTGGAGATGGTACCAACTTTGTGGCAACACTTTGTCAAAGGCCCTTATCTGATTCCACATGAAAATATGTAATACACTGCACAAAGTGTTTTCCGCAAAAAAAAAAAAAAAAAGAAGAAGTTTTCCAGTTTGGCGTGGAAGAACTCAACTAGCCTGTACAGAGCTGTTACCTCCACTCCGTCCGACACCTTTGGGATAAATTGGATAAATTGGAAAGACGACTTTGAGCCGGGACTTATCACCCAACAACAGTGTTTGACCTCACTAAAGCGCTTGTGGCTGCAGCCTGGTTCTAAAATCATGTGCAGAGTGACAGATGTTCATTCGGCTGGTCACATACTTTTGGCCATTTCACGTATATTGGAAAAAAAGACTCCACGTTCTATCCTTAGAGAAAGTGTATATCTGTTGTACTGCTGTTGTAAACTGCAATAATGTCCATAACATTCTTTATCACAGACCGCAAAGCCGGAGACCCTGCAGGGGCTGACCAGACCGATGGCAAGCTGAAAGACTCAAAGGAGAGGTGGGTTGCTATACAGTACATACAGGACGAAACAGATAGTTCAGTTCCTCTGTAGTTAGTCTCTTGGTTTTCCTCATCTGCGTCACTGCACACATCCCTTCTCTCAGCTCAATGAGACCTCTACTCCTCCATTCTTTCACAATTGTTTGGACTTTATCAGCTACATCCCACTGTTTGAGTCAATGCAATGGCTTCACGTGACTCAGTGACGCACTTGCACACATGCAGACACAGATGCACACTGTCATCTTTCTGAATAACTCCCAACCTAATCCTTTTTTTTTTTTTTAAATTCTACTTTCATACTTTTCCCAGCTTCTCGGTTGTCCTCTTTATCTCCTTCATGCTGTGTCTGAGCAGATAAAGTCCACAGATCTGTTTACCAAAAGCAAAACAGAAAACAAGTCAATAAAAATTAAGCAAACACCAATGTAGAGCTTTTCTTCAGTCCAAGGTTTTATATTCAGAGGCATAGTTTATATCCACTACTGTAGATGTCAGCTTTGATGACTTTATCACCAATAAATCTTGCTCCAGTCAGCATGTAAATACTTAAAATAGAATCGAGTACAGTATACTCCATATACTGTACTGTTTAATCACCTCTCATTAGCTTCTGTTTGGGACCCTGAACTTGCAAGTATCACAACTTTTGTTAAAAATTTCCATCAAAAGTTCCATTTGTCTATTTTTCAGTATATACCAGTAGAATAAAAGACAGCAATTCAGATTATATTTGGACTGCACTTAAAATTAAACACTCAACCTCTTTCAAAAATATTCTCTCCTCAAATCTAGCTAACACTCACTATTTTCAATATTATCACTTTTGGATCATTTGCACAAATGAGCTATAAACTGAACAAAAAGGTAAAATATATATACATATACGTATATAATATATATACAGTATGTCATGCTTTTCGCATCACCAGGAGAGCAGTTGTGCTTTGCTCTGTAGGGCGTAGCCATTATGTACTACTGCATCATGGGATGACTGTACTCATTCAGAATAGGTCTGCTCGTCAGCCACAGCAATTACTGTAAATTGATCTCTGAGTATTACAGGTTTTATTAAGACGGCGGGGACGATGCCCTGAGCTCTGAGGCTGCCAGAGTGACACACGGCTCCACGGCCGATCGAGCAAATTAAAAAGTTCACTCAGTATTAGATGAAAGGAGGTGTTATATAACAATTTTAAAAAAAAACAAAATTTAATTCCAGCAGATACCAGTGAAGACATCGATCTTTTGGTTTGGTTGTTCGAAAACAAGATAATTTTTAATCTTTGGTTTCCATTTATATATTTTCCAATTATGATCCTTAAAATCCTGTAATTGCTTTTGACGAAGTGTCACTGCTTCTCTTTGTTGCAGTGACTCTCCAGGCCACCTAGAGGAGAAGGTATCGCAGCTGGAGGCCATGTTGAAGAAGCTGCAGGATGACCTGCAAAAGGTGCTTTGACTTTCATGAATGTTTTTTTTTTTTCTAATAACATTTTCAGTGAGCTGCACAGGAAAATCAGCAGGTAGGAAAAAGTATTTCAATTGATCGGTTTCTGAGAAGATTAGTATTTTCTGATGCAGCCTCTTGTCTACTTGTACAAACCCTGTCATCCTGAAGTCACAGCTGACTCACTGTAGAGATGCATCAAAAACACTCAAAAGCCATTTATGTATCCTTCTATGTAACATTTTCCAGATTTTTGGAATATTCACATTTTATACTTTTAAAAAATATTTAAGATGTCTTTAATGCTGTTATCAATATTTCCTAAGACTTCTGCACTACTAAACATAATTCTGTCTTATGCAAATTTTTCCTGAAGATGTGAAAGATTAAGATTCTCAGCACAAAGTCCACTTGTGTTTCCAAACTTTCAGCCCCATCTCACCTCAGTCAGCTACAGACAAATGGAGATTGTGTTGAGAATTGTTTTTGTCAGTACTGTATATGTCTCTGTATGTAAAAATCACATAGAATTTTTTTTCTATTTTTAAAGCCTTGATTAGGGCTGAAACTATAACTATTTTCTTTATTAATTCATCCAATGTATATTTGTCTAATCAGTCAATCATTCAGTCCAAGAACTCTCAAGAATAATGACAAAACATCATTTGGTGCAGATACAAATAGCTTATTAGCAACAACAATTTTGATAATCAATCTTTTGTTTATCTTCCATCTTCTTAAATGTGACTTTAAATTTGCTGCTTTTCTCTGTTTTATATGACTGTAAACTGAATATCTTTGGACTGTTGTTTGGACACAAACAAGCCTCACCTTCGATTCTTGGAAATTGTGATTGTGATTTCCCACTATTTTTGACATTATATTAATGAAAAATGATCGTCAGATTATTCAATCATGACAATAACTGTTAGTTTCAGCCCTATAACCATTGTAAGTGATTAGCTGACCAGCAACCCTTAAAGCACGGATTTTAATAAATGATATAAACAGTGAAAAGTCAGCAAATGTTTGGTGTTTTTACCTGACAGATGACTAAAACAGAACAAACAATTTATTTTGTTAAACAAATGATCAGTTCAGTGACAAATTGTTGTGCTGTTTTGGATTGTGAGTTTATTCTTCCTTCTCTGCAGTGTGATGTGCTTCTCTACACTGTTTGTGTTGTTTTATTTCAAGCTCTGTGTTTATGTGTGCCCACTAGTTTCCTTAACGCCACCGCTGTACCTGTCGCTCCCCTCCCGTTCCTGCCACAGCGATCTGAGCGACGGCTTTTGTTTTGTTGTGTGCCGATGTCTTTCAGGAGAAGGAGGACAAGGCGGTGCTGCAGGCCGAGGTGCAGAGCCTCAGGCAGAACAATCAGCGGCTGCAGGAGGAGTCGCAGAGCACAGTGGCCCGCCTCATCAAAGTCACCGAGCTGCTGTGCAACGTCAACAAGCCCTGTTAGCTTCACCACTGCACGCACAAACACACAAATCAGCGGAAAGATGCAAATCGTGCAATGTCCCCGTACGCTCAGTACACTTATTTTGTTCATACTTATTTGCAAAAGCAAACACACACACCTATCCTCTTCAAACTGTGTATTACCACAGTCTCTGTCCTGAATCCTGGACCTGCCTGTTGGTGAGGGAGTATGCAAATCAACTCATACAAAAGAAAAAAAAAAAAAAAAAAAAGACATTTTTCAAAGTCTCATGACCATCATAGACTGACCAACGTGCAGCTCTCACGCTGCTGTGTTGGTGTGCTATGCTGGAGTGCTTCTCTTGGTGTGTGTGTATGATACAGTACGTGCGTGGATGTGTGCCACATGTGTGTGCGCGTGTGTGTGTCTGTATGTGTGCATCTCTTACTGTACCTTGCTTCAAATACTTGACAAGCTGGGCTGAATAGCACTTGCATAAAAAGTGGCAATTAAGACTGAGAGACACTGTATAGCATGTTTGGTGGTGTCTTATCTGAAATGACCAAAAGTGTATATATATATCACCAATAATGTATGTGAACAGTAGTATTGCTATCCTCTCTGCCAGACGTGTAGTTGCAATGTCTGAGTGTGGTTCTGCCTGGCGCTGCTAGTGTGGAAGGCCTTGAAATAAAACACAACAAGAAAAAAAAAGGGAACATGACAATGATGAGCCTATAGGCAGCCTTCTACTTCAAAAGATGTAATGATGCTAACTGACTCGCCTCAGAGCAAGGTCTGTTACATAAGGACATCTTTCTCTGCCCTCTTCACTTCTCAGTAGTACTGTATTTAAGAAATCCTGGCGTTTTTAGGGAGAGACAATTAAAGAGAAAAAAAAAAAACATAAATGAAAGGGACAAAAACTGGAAATGTCAAAAACTATGAACTGAGCATGCTTGTTCCTTCTGGAAGTGTGTATGAAAACAGTATTAAAGGAATACTAGAAAGGGTTTTACCTCTCCTGAAGACACAGACGATGGCAGGAAAGAACCGCTTCAGATTCCTTCCATGATTGCCTGTAGCTGTTTTCTTCTAACCTCACTATTGTAGCAGCCATACTGTAGAAGATCTCCTGCTGGCCTGAACCACAAAATGCCAGAAGGTGGCTTTTCTTTCAGCTCGCAAAATAGCTTTACATGTCTGGATAAAACACCTTGAACTAATAGTGAAATACAGATTATTGTATTTAAATATGTTTTGTGTTTGGCGGATGTCTACAGTGACTATTTTGGGTAATTGTTTAGTATGGCTTATGAGTGGTAGCGGTAAGGACAATAGGTGAAATCTTACCATTCCACCCTGATGTGTGTTTGTGTGTGTTTTGTCGTTCTTGCACTTTTTTTTTTTCTTTTTTCTTTTTTTTTTTTGTAAAATCTGCACTGGACAGGGCACATACTGTACTTTATTTAGCCTGCCCAGGTTATATCTTGCTCAACATAAGAAGGTGGATAAGATCTCATCCCCCTGACACCACCTTACCTCACCTTTTTGTGTGTCCACTGCTGACGGCGCCGTTATCAAACGTGTGTTCAGAGGAGTTGGACTGCTTCTCCTCAGTGCCAACGAAAAAGCCCAGGCAGCTCTCCTGAATCCCACCGCAATCCAACAGAACTGACTCAACCACAAACTAAACTCCAACTACAAACTCTGAACTCCGACAAAAAGGATGCCAAACTTTCGCCAGTCACTCAGACTCTCTTGTTTCTTGTACAAAACTTCCTCTTGTAATTTTATTTTAGAGTCACTGTGAATACCTGGTACCAGCATATTAAGATACAGTATATACAGATTAAATTATGAATCTAAACTTTATCAGTATGTGAAGATACTGTATGTACAGCTGAACTGTTCCATGTTACTTAGTGCATTGGGGTTGTGTATGCCCTCCTTTTGCAGGATGATTATGCAGACAAGTGTGTTAATCGTGGCCATGCAGGCTCCTGTTTCATCTCCCGTACACGCCGAAGCCTCATGACTGAACAGGGAGATGTTGGTGTGAGAAGACCTGTTTTACTGTGTCTTGTATAGTTATTTAGATTGTAGGAGGTTGGTCAAGCATGAGAATGTGCCAAGCAACTTCCAAGCTCTCCTCTGTATGTGTGTATGTATAAAAATGTAACTTATTAATCATGCAAATGTGGATTTTCTTGTAGCTGTTTAAACTGGAGGGAAGTCGTGAGGAAAAAATGTGAAATAGGTCAGAAAGGAAGGCGGGCTTGGTTATGAATTTTAGTTTCTTTTGTAGAAAACCAACAACCATGATATGACGTGACAAAACGCTATCTGCAACTCTTGCTTAATGTGACTATGGTTCTTATTATCATTCTAATATTGAGCTATTTCAGCTATAGCTCTTACATATTTAATAAGGTCTTGAAACACCATTAGGTACGCCTTAATGAGTAAAACTCTTCTATCAGAATGGATGGTCAAAACTGGTCATACTGGTGTTATGTGAAGGCTGATCTCTCTGACTTTGTGCCTACCTGAAAATGTAATGTATGTGAACCCAGCTTATTGATCTCCTTTCTTCATCTTTGGTTGCACTTACTGAGGTTTTAAGTGGCAAATGAAGGATTTTCTAAGAGACCCTCTCAACATCAGGTCTTTCATCCGCTGAAAAAGTCATTGGGTGACACATGATCCAAAAGAAGGGATAATAATGATGATGATAATAATAGATGTGTGTTGTTGATCTCAAGCATCAATGAAGGTTTACAGCTCTGTGAGTACCACCGATTGTTAAGAGAACCGAAAAATATATCATTTTTAAAAATGAATTAAAAGGAAAAAGGTGCTTAAAATGACTGATGATGCATTGGAATCGAGTTTAAATTGAAGTGAATGTGTTGAATGGCGTATGCTTCCCCTAAGGGAGGATTATTTTGGTATTTAAATTTTTAAAATAAACTGTCTCAGAAAATCTAAAAAATTATCTGAAAAAGTTGAATGTGGCTGAATGACCTAAAAGGGACAAAAGTAGAAAAAAAAAGAAAAGAAATCAGCAATAATTTGGGTATCACATACTAGATCTTCTTGACCTAATCTGGAAATGCAACAATCTAAGTATGTGTTCCCAAGCAAAGTTAATGTTTTGTCAACACAGAGACAAATATCCCAAAGGCAGATCATGTGGAGATATTTGTGTTTAGGACATGATGGAATGATTCTGGGGGGTGTTTGTCCTGCTTTTTAGTTTGTAGAAAATAAAAAAACTCAAAAAGCAAAAATCTGGAATGAACAACATCTCTGTTCAAACGACTACAAGTGTTTTAATTGGTTGAATTGATGTTTTGAGGAAAAACAACTCCATGAACATACGAGCCACGTGACTTGTAGTAAAACTGACTTGAGCAGAGCAGAGACGCTGCACAGCACCACATTTTTCTCTATCAATATCTGACTCTACATTTGCATGATTGAAATCATGAGCAGGGATAGAGAGCGTCTTTAGCAACTTGACCCTATTGTGAATTTATTGTGTTCCTGAGATATCAATTTACGAAGGAATCATAGGACTATTCAACCAATGTGAGAGGTGGGGAAGATCTAGAGAGGACTCTGGTGACTACAGAGAGTTAGATCTTGATCGGAAGAGCTGGGTGGATTTGTTGAAGAGCACAGAACTTGTGAGGATCTCACGTCCTGGATTGAACTCTGATGAGCACGGGTGGTAAAACTGACATCAAACAGCAGCTGAAAGCAGTTTTAACGTCTGACAGCAACAAGATGATTGACATCAGATGGAGGTCATAGCCAAATGCGATTTGCTGAAAAGAATAAAAGGTGAAAGTTGTTTTATGACAGTGTCGTCTGTGGAAACCAGGATTCTGTTGCAATTGTAATTGAACCACAAAATTCAAAATTGTATTGAAAAAGTATTATAACCATCTGTATGAGCCAATACAAGAATAAAGTGAAAAGATTTTGCTTTTAGAAATTAATTGTTGAGAATCAGGTTGTCAGGTTTAATCTCAACCCTATGACTTAAGAGTTGCTTTATCGTCATCAAGGCTAAAACACTGTCAGCATGAACTTGTGATACTGAGGATTATGAGGTGTTAGGTTGGCCACTCTAGGTGGACAGAAAATACATGTATTAACTCTCAATGAGTTTAGAAGAAACAACTTCCTGTTGGCGACCTAGATCAGCTGAGCAAGCATAGCAACAAGCAACAAGCTCTGTCCCTGTCCCTCCAAAACACCACCAGACTGATAGTCGTTGTTCAACTGCACAGTTTTGCTTATTGACATCCTGCAGGGAACTGGATAATGCTGACAGAGCAAATTATAAAACCTCTTCAGTTTAACCTGGTTCATGTTTTGTTATTAGATCATAATAATCATGATGCACAAAATGCTACCAAAGAAACAAGACCACTAATTCTAAAATTAACATTAAACATAAAATACAGCAGAGACCGGTGAGAATGTGAACCTAGTTGTATTGCAATCTATCTGATAGTTGTTGAGACATTTCACACAAAACCACAAATTTGAACCTCATGGTGGCGCCAAAGGAAAAGTCAAGGGATCATCAATGTCACTGGACTCATCTTCTGGGAACCAAGAATGTCTTCACCACATGTCAAGGCAACCCACCCAATTGTTGTTCAGATATTTCAGTCTATACCAAAGTGGTACTGACAGACCAACATCACAAGAGCTGTTACCATGGCTAAAACACAGTCCGCTAATCTTATCTGCATCTTGAACAACTTTATTCCCATAATCAGCTGTTCATCATTTAAAGTGCCAGCAAATTTACCAAGCTCCCAAAATGTTTGGATGTCAACACAATCATGTCAACATCTTCAATAAAATGCAACATGTGTTTTGTCTGACATTTGGTGCCAACATAAAAAAAAATAAATAAAAGCAGCCTGTAGTCACATAAACACATGTAGAGATTTAGAGTGAGATAATACAGTTTAAAAACAGTTTGAAATCCTGATTGGATGCACATTCCTATCTCCCTGGATTGATACAGCATGAGGTAAGACAAATAGACTTTCCAAAGCTTTTTCCATGAGCATAATATAGCACGACAACATCATACAAACATTTCCCAGGACTCTGTCCTCTGGAAGGCTTTGGTAAACATCAGCCACAGAGAAACGCTTTATCTTCCCTGTCCTGACACCAGGAGGAGAACTGATGACAACAATGCTCCGGCCTATGTCTTTATTTGGGGTTGGAGCACAGGACCAAGTCTTCACTAGGGGCTATGTGTCACACACAGCTCAAGGGCTTAACGCCAGTTTGACTCATCCGTGTTCTGTAAATACAGAGGCCATGTGCGTGTGTGTGTGTGCGTGCGTGCGTGCGCGCGCGCGCGCGCGTGTGTGTGTGTGTGCGCGCGTGCGTGCGTGTGTGTGTGCACGTGTGTGTGTGTGTGCGCGCGTGTGTGTGTGTGTGTGTGTGTGTGTGTGTGTGTGTGTGTGTGTGTGTGTGTGTGTGTGTGTGTGCGCGTGTGTTTAGACTCCTGGTTCACAGGGTTGTATATTGTATTGTATAAATGGCCAGGCCACTGTTGCCCCATACACAACATGTAGATGACGTCTAATGTTAGTACATTTGCTACATCACTGCTGTGTTTTTGCCATAAAGGAGCCTAATTATAAGTTAGATTTCAGAGGTCTGATCAGTGTCACACATCTACAGATACAAACAACAGATAAATATTTTACCCGAGAGGTCTTCTGATGTTTAGAAATACACCCAACAGTTTATTTTATCTTGCATAACATGGAATTAAATTCAGGATTTCCATTTGGGGAAATAGTAAAAGCTTGATTTCAATACATTTTGAACAAAATCTGTACTGACATAACTTTTAACAAACAATTAAAATAAATCTCAAAAAACTGAACAATTTAAAAGACAAGACTTCTTTAAATCCAACCTGTTAATAAGTGATGCACCTCATATAACAACCCGTGACAGTCGATGATAAACTGATCAGAGTCCTGCTGTTATTTCATAAACTCTGGGGTTAAACATTAAAGAATGAAAAACATCAGGGCACTTTGGGCTCACTGATGTCGTATGAGGCTGGTTTCACCTTTTTTCTTTATTTCATTTTACTGAGGTTAAAATAAGTCTTTTTTAAGGTCTTAATTTTTAATAGAAGACATTAACCAGACCACCTCAACTGTGCAGTACAAGCACTTTTACGCAAAAGGGTTTGTGTACTTTTGTTCTTTCTGGGAAACTGGCAGGGTGGATTATTAGCAGACAGCTCTACAGCACTGTTTCTTAATCTTCACCCTGTTTCTGGAAGATCTCCATGTGACAAGTAGTCTTTGTTTCCCCAAACAGACGCCAGGGGCAGGCCATCATTTTTAGTATTTTTATTTAGTATCAATTTAAGACTTGGGAAATGAGGAAATGAGAAGGATAAAGGAACGACAAAGAGAAAATGTAAAGAAAATGTAGAGCATTAATGATAAAGTATTTACATTTTAACATATTTTCATTTTTTTCCTCTATGGTTTCAAATATCATTTTCCTCAATACAAGAATGAATCCAAAGTTCTGTATGTCATTGATTTAAGTTTTTGTACCAGAAATAAACCATAATACCCTACTGGCAGATTGTTCACTTGTTTGTGTTAATGATAATAACTCTCTATGTTAAGTATGGTGTCAAGATGGATATTTCACAGAAGAAGGGACGCTTCAAAATCTCATCCTGCTGGGTGCAGCCTGCAGGGGGTGGACACAAGAACAGCAACACATGCACAACAGAATGCACATAATAGCACCTATAAAGCCCACCAAATATTTTATGAACAACCATGTTTTCACAGAATTGAATCAACAATCTCAACAAAAACAAACATTATGTGTATTTAAATAAAAAATGTTACTGCGTCTTGCAAATGATGGCACTGCATCATACTGTGTTATATCATTTGTTTGGTAACTTTATCACCCTCACCACCTTATATCAGGGCACTGTACAGAGTATCTTATCCAGTTATGACACTGTGTGATATGGAAACTGTAGTAAATCAGACTGTTAAGACCTTATAGTGAGGACAGCTGAGAGATCATAGGGGTCTCCCTCCCCAGGACATCTAGGAAGAGTGTTTACAAAAGGCCTCCAACATCAAAAAGGACTATTTCGACGCCTCTGACTGACTCTCTGACTCCCTGCTGTCTTGTTGGATATACCATAGTCATAGTCAAACAGCAGAATGCACATTAGTGTCTTCCCAAGACTGTTAGACTGCTAATCACCTCACACCTGCCCAGCACTCTACACACGTCTTAGTTAACATGGAAATTATTCACCTTGCATCATTGTCTATTGTGACTTTGTACATGTGCATATAATGTACATTTGAACGAACTCGGGCATTTATTACGCTCACATTTTCATGGACTTTTAGACACTTTCAAAGTTTATTGTTTTTGTCCTGATGCTTTCATGTTTTGTTTGATGTTTTTAAACCTTGCTCCTGAAGAGATTTTTCATAGTTAGTAGTTAGTAGTTCGGACTTTCAACTATTAATAGGTGTTTTAAGTCATAATACCTTTTATTATTGCACCTTAAAGTTACCCTGTGAAGTTTTGACCACTAGTAGTGCCATGGAGTAATGGTTTAAACAGATCCTCTAACCTGAACAACCATTTAGGTTGATTGTTCCTACCCCCTGATATAATCCATTGGAGTGTCTCCTGAACTAGCAACCTCTCAGTGGCAAGCGAAACTGACCTTCACATCATGCCTATAATAGTAAATACATGGTTAAGCTTATGGAACAGTCACGGTTTAGTTTAGCTCAGGCACAAAAAGTACTTCAGATTTAGGGAAAATCATGGCTTGAGTTAAAATAAGTACTTTGTTAAAGTTAAAGGACTTTTATAGATATGGTTACAATAATAAGCTGATCGTACGGATGACCTATGAACTTTTTTTTTTTCAGGAGGACAGAGTCTTTGGTCGTATACACAAGGATGCACATTAACAAAAGTGTGCGTGCAGCCTGCACAACATGCTAGTCTGCTGATCAACAATTGGTGGCAGCAACACACAAAGAAAGCATAGTAATGCACCTGTAGAAGCAGTGAAGAAGAAGACATGCAAGTAAACACAGATGCAAATAATTCAGGAATAAAAAAAAAAAACTACTTTACAAATGTTTTATGCAGGAGGAAAGGCACCCAACAACTTTTTTAGGCCCTTAGGATGCGCACAAAAGTTCTGGTGAGTAACTTTTGTTTGTTTACAAGAAATCTCTACAGGCCACCTTTTAGCGCATCAAGTTTACTTATCACGAGGAGTAGAAGAGTGTTCAATCTGTGAAAACATCAGTATAATGCCTTTTGTGGTTGCGGAGGAGCTTTATAAAATCTGAAAAAATAACCCTGTTGATGTCATAGTGATGTCATCTGGGTTATCTAAGTCTGATTCACAAACTGGGGGCGTGCAGTTTGAAAGATATGGTCATTTAACAGACATCAGAATGACTGTCGAGCTGGAGGCAGAGCTGGCCATCCACTAATCATAGGGTTAGCACGCAGAGTCGCAGCAGTTAACACGCCAGCTGTGTTCTTGGCTGATCTGTATCTCCATGCACAATGGATCTCTCACAGGTGCATTGTGCAGGTATATCTGTCTCTTGCAACATGCAGTCAAATTATATGTAAGGCAAACACAAAACCACTGGAGCAACACTTAAAGGACTTTCTGCATGTGAAACTGATTATTATATGGAATAATGTAACGCTGCCTACTCTGAGCCCCAGCACTGCTTGCTTCCCATCTTCCCCTGCTCTCATCATGCTCAATTACCTAGATCAGGTGTGTTCAGCCAATCAAGAGCTCATCAGGTGGGGGCAGAGTAGAGACAGATGGAGAATTCGATGCAGTGTTGGGGACCCTCCAGGGCCAGAAGGAGGACCAGTGATGGGCAACAGGTGGTGCATTTAATACATCCACCCTCCTGTCCTGTATGTTTTACTGGTTGGAAGTGAATACATTGTGAGCAGACCAGCGGGGATACACAAGCACAAAAAGGCGGAGGTGGCGCTCACACACACACACACACACACACACACACACACACACACCTCTGTTGCATTTCCTCTGAACGAGGAGTGCTGAGTTTGTCGCCGCCTGGTGGCCACACAGAGGAAAGCACAGTGAGAGCAGAGGCAGTCAGAGAGAGTGAAAGCGCACAGAGCTCAGAGCATGTCGCCTCCTGTTGCTGCACCTCACTGTGGGATCTGCTGTCGACCTTTCAGACTGTACACATGAACGCAGAGAGCTTTTTTTACGCGTTTACTCGCTATGTGCGACCCGGAGGCTCGGCGGAGTGAACCAGCACGGCGTCTGTTCTGAGTCCGGAGGGGAAAACCAGGCTCGTCTCTGCGGGGATTTTTTTTTTTTTTTTGACACAACTTGGCAGAGAAGTCGCTCGCTGTTGTTGCCTCTACTGGAGGAGGTTTGTTCGGAGCTGTTTGCAGAAAAAGTGTGAAACAAGTGTCGGAAAGAGAGCAACAGATGTGTATTCGTGGATATGCGGCCGGCTGAGGAATGAGAGCAGCGGCGAGGCACCGGCGGCCCTTCCAGCGGTTCTGCTGCTGTGGAGTCGGGCTGGTCGCCGTCATTTGGCTCACACAGGTTATCCAGGCACCAGGTGAGACCTTAATATAGATTTACAGGCGGCGCGCGCCTGCGAGCCTAATTATAATCCTATGGACATTGTTATATGCACAGGAAAGTAAATATATTATATCAAAATAAAACAAAAAACAAACAAAAAAAAACAACATGATACACTTTATCATATATGCACAGTATTAATCATTGAATTTACATGAAGAATGAGAGGTGCAGCCATCAAGAGCCCACGTTTTAGGCTGATGCTAAATAACTATAATATTAAATCTCCTATATTAAGATCATATCATCACATATTAAATAATTAACTGACAGTGGTAAAAAGAGAAACCAAAAGAACCAAAAATAAGGAAATTAATTTGTTTATATATTGTATTGTGTGTATATATATATATATAGTGTGTGTGTGTGTGTGTGTGTGTGTGTGTATGTATGAATGTATGTATTACCCTTACACCGTTCTATACATATCCATCCATATAAAACCATTGGTCTTAACAAAGAGCTTCGTTGAAGAGCATTTGTTAAACTAGTTGACAATTTAGTATAATTGTGTAAGTAAGATAAGCAGGTGCACAGGTTTAAGGTTCAATTCTCCAGCAATGTGTCATTTTTAAAGCAAAGCTTTGTCTTCAAAGTGATGAACCCTGCTGCGTATTTTTAGACACCTGAAGCACTGCTTAAATATTCAAATGTTAGCTCATTATTTTCTAAAATGATTGCTAACCTTCTGTCCTTCTGGCCACTCTCTGTTCACACTGCAGGAATGTGACAGTTCCCACATTACATAAAGCAGACACAAATTGTGGCATGTATAAGGGGATAAGTTCAGTTATAGGTTATTGCAGATTCAGCAGCCATATATTCATCTCAGATGAAATACTGTATATGACTGGACGTGTCAAGGATTCATTTTTGTGGACATACTTGCTTTATCCCTTAATAGACTGGCTGCCCTTTTCATTTCTGCCTTTTGCCAGGTTGTCACTGTAGCTGCGAATGTGTTTTTCATTCAGCTAAATAAATTGTAAACGTAGACAAATAATAGATAAATGGATTTATGGATCTGGAATTATGTGGTTTACAGAAACTGTCATGTCATTCAGTTCATGACGCAATATTACACAATTTCATACACAAGACATATGTTCGACGTAATCCCCATTTCCTGATTTCCCTACTGATTCCTCATCCATCCCCACAGTAAGATCAACTTGACAAGTGAAAACAACACATCTATAAAACGACATGCAGTGTAGTTCATGTCAGATAAAGTATTACAGTTCATGCGCACATAGACCCACCTCTCCCTCACTATATCTCCTCCGTAAAATTATCAACCTGTGTAATCATTCCCGGTCGCATTAGTGTCCGTTAGTGGCCAGAATGAGGTTATTTTTCTTTTATTGTGGAAACATGAGAAAACAAATGAGTGAAGTCTGAGTTTGATACTTTAGTGTCTCATCGAGCAGCACTGCACCTCTTGGCATTACCATCACCCCCCCACCACCACCACCACCACCACCACCACCACCACACCCCCCATCCCCTCCCCCTTCAGCTCATTACCCTCTCATCACCTTTGCTGATATGGTCACACACCGTCACACAGGCTCATCAGCAGCTTCACCACCAACTTTTTCCTCTGTAATCCCATGTGCGTTATAACGATATGAATGAGTGAACTTTTTGTTCCATCAGGAGTGTTTGATTTACGTTAAGGTTTCATCCGGGTGTTGCATGCTGTCCTTCGTTGAAGAGTGTCCTGGTGAATGAGCCGTGTCATTAATATTTATACTTCACCTTTAAATTATGAGTGTGCCATCAACCAGAAGAGGTTTTTTGAACCGAGACCAAGGCTGCTCAACTTAAACCACATAAAAGCACAGGGCAAAGCATGTAGTCTGCTGTTTGTAATGGCGACAGGCGGGTTACGCTCGTAATACTTGGAAAATATTACACATGCTGTAGCATCCTGAAAGCTGCTGCTTGTATGACCATTTATGGATGTCCTGACCTAACACTTGTATCAACAGCAGTCTGATTATGTCAAAAAACTATACTAGATTGGATTTCAATCCAAAACAATTTATTTACAAGTGTATTTTAACATCACAAACTCGATACAAAAAAATTTGCAGAAGTGTCACACAAAGGAACATGAAGGGAAACTGTACAAGCAAGAATTGCCAAAAAGAAAAATTTGCTAGAGCAACAAACATTGCTGAAAGCAATGAAGAAGTACAAGGAACTCCCTACAGACAGCAGCAAAAACAAAGCAGAAAACAAAGAAACCTGTTGAATTGTTTGTGCTGGTTGGCCAGTCTGTGGTAAGGGGGCGTCACTAGCCAACATATCTCCAAGATGGCCGACCCTCGTCTGTAGAAGCAAGCATCTCAAAACATTCAGAAGTCACAGCAGCAGTGAGTCTAACAGCTGACACATAAAAACCTGTGTGGTCCCATGTCATGACGGTCTGACAGCACACAAAGTGCAAAAAGAGTATGAATAGCTTTTTACAAGTAGCGGATGTTATAAAAAAAAAAGCTATAACATACATTAACATTTTATTTTCTGAATTTGATATAGTGAATGTGGTAGCCAACAGTTACTCCAGCAAACACAAAGCAACTCCTTAGCTGCTAAGTGTTCTGCTATGTTAGCTTGCTGGTTGCTAACTTGGGTTTATCAGAGCTGCCTATTACAGCAGGAAGAGGTTGTTGAAAAAATCAAATGTTCATCAGCTCTCTGTTTACTGCAACATGACACTTAGTAAATGTTCAGTCTGAATGTCAGAGTGGAGATCTGGAGGACTGCACTGTTATCAACATGGAAGGTGAGAGTGTTGGACTGAAAGACAGTCCAACACTCTGTTATTTTTTACAAAGTAATATCTATAGATTCAGGTTTCATATGCAGCCATGCTCACCTGCTTTGCCACTATTGAGGATTTTACAGTCAGAGACATTTACTATCACAGACTGCAGTCTTGGCCAGTGGAGGCTGTGAACCTGTTTGTGGTAAGAGCTGAGGAAGCCGGTCTGTCCAGTCAATGTGTGATTGACGGGATTAAATGTCTTGTTTCTGCTAAAGAAGGAGGCGACAGTGGTTTGTCTTTCCTGAATGGAACTGATGATAGAGTACAGCGTTGGACTTTAGTGTTTCAAATAATGATTTCTTCTTTCAGGCCTTTAAAAAAAAGAATTAAATAGGTGCTATTCAATGATGCAGCATTCAGTTCATGTCAGCATGGTCACAACCGGAGGAATTCCTGGGATTTTAACTTCTTCGCTGCCTTAAGAATGAGAAAAAAACATTGTGAATAAATGTCACAACATGAACATTTGAGTCTGTGACACAGAGCTTCTTCTCCAAGGTTCCCCATAGTCTGTGTGTGTAAAGAGATGAATTATGATTTATGTTATTTACACTTAGCATGATGTTATTTATACTTACCTTCCTGCATTCAACCAGCATTATGTTGAGGAATGTGGCAGCAGGATTAAGATTTCATCACTGATCCCTCTGTAACCTTTTTACTTTATATTTACATTTTAGGCCTTTAGCAGACAGTCTTACCCAGAGGAACAATCACGCCAACATTTAAGTTAGCGTATCACCACAACTATAAGCAGAAGTCATAAACAAGGACAAAGGTCAGGGTCAGAGTGAAGACAGTGTTGCTACATGCATTGAAAGTGTGAGGTTGTGTTCTTTATGTCCATTTTAGAACAGCTTATTGTGACTTTAGAGTCAGGCAATGCCTAACGTCATAATAACTAATTAAAAAACATGAAGTGAGAAGGTCAAACAGGCTATCTGACACAGCAAATACCATATATTTCTATTGTTCAGGTTGTCATTTACTAACTAAGTTGATTACATGACAAGATGCATCAAGATCTGCGGTGGCTTTTCCTGGGGGAAACCCGGTTTAACATTAGCATAACCAGAACCCTCAAACTTACTGATAGATATAGAGGCTTGGAAAGGAACCGGAGAGTCCAACTTCTCCAATGACAAATGTCTAGGAGACAAATGTTGCATGGAATTTCAATTTTCAAATGCAAACATAGTGAATAATTGGGTAAAAGGACTTTTTATATTTAGTGTTTATTACAGCTTTAGTTAGATAAGCCTAAAGTTATGTAAATTAGGTTAATATTTGAAGAATGTTTTTGACCTAACTACAAGTCATTTGTGCTGCATTTTATTTGTGCTGGGAGCCTTTGCTTCCTCAATATTAACAATGCAACTACATTGTTTTTCATTAATGGATAATGTCTAGATGAAATGATTTACCATTTTGTATATGAATTGTCAGAAAGTAGTGAAAAATGCCCATCACAGTTCCAATGTAATGGCTTTTGATAGCTTATGTCCAGCAGACAGGTGAAAACCCAAAGTTGATCAATTTGCAATGAAATAAAATAGGGAAAAAAAAGCTAATCTAAGATGGAAAGATTTTTGCCAAATGTACAATATGATTAGTCAATATCAATCAGTGATTAATTTTCAGTTGTAAAGTTGTCAATAATCAGTGTTGTCTATGTTGTTTGTGCTCAGTACCATGTAGTTCATAAAATCTGAATCTGGGAGAAAAATAGAATAAGCCTCACACATTTTTATTTCAGCTTTTTCTAATGAGATGAGATGTGGTTAAGGTGTTGGAAACTCCTCCCACTTACAAGTGTGAAAATGGTGCCGAGCCATCTGTGGCAGAAACACATTTGAATTTCATACGAGCTGAGCTCCTCTTGATGCCTCAACATGAAAGCCTTCACGTCTCCTCTCAGCCACGACCGCTGCCCTCCTGAAATAGGCTCATTGAGCTGTACGGTACAAAGGGACTCTACAGCGCCTGGCAATCACGAAATGCATCAGACACAGACACCAAGCCGCTTCATAAATAAAAGGACAGTGTGTAGTACGGAGCTTAATAATCGTCTCACCATCTTCTCAGCCCTCGGAGGAAAGATCTCTGTGGGTGGCAGTGGAGTATATCTGTATCTTTTTTTTTCCCGTTAGGGAGATGGTGAGACAGATCTATCTGTGGGGAGTTCCTCGGTTATCGCCCTAGTAAAGCCGTAAAAACTGAAACCCACACAGAGATTAGCTATTGAGGAATGAAATACAGAGCTGAAATACACACCATAAAGACTTCAGTGCTGATGGCTCAGGACAGCTGACGGCAGCGTAGAGTGAATTACTGAACATACTCTTATCTCCCAGAGCCAGAAACATGAAACTGCAGTGCGTCGAGTCCTCGCTTCACTCAAGAATAACTCTACGGACAATAACTAGAAGGGGGGAAAAAGGGACAATAACAATTCTTGGGTGATGGTGGACAAGTGTACATTTTTAAAATTCAAAAGCCAAACTAATAAAATAAGAAATAGATTGTTTGGTTATTGTAGTTCAGTTTTTCTTTGAGAAAACTGACAGTTACTCTCAACAGAAAATTAATTGACAACAGTTGTGATAAACTTAATTGTTTAAAATGATTTATGAAATAAAAATTGCAAAAATTGATAGTTTTACCTTGTCACATTGGAGGATTCTCTTCTCTGTTTTTTGTCCATTTAAACTGAATATTTTTGGGTTTCAATCTGTTTGTCAGCAAAACCAACAGTTTGTAGACGCTCGAGGGCTCTAGGGAATTGTGTTGGGCATTGTTTCATATTGTATCACATTTTATTAGAGCTGCAATTAGTGATTATTGATGTAATCGGCTTCATTATTATTAGTTTACTTTCATATAAGACCAGAAAATCAGGAAATCCTCATAATGGAGAGGCTGCAAATGTTTAGCATTTTTTGCTTGAACAGTGACTGAAATAATGATTTGATTTATCAGAATAGTTGACGCACAAATCAATTAGTTCTCTGCAACAAAGCAGAGAGGTTACCTTCCATAGCTGGAGTGTGTGAGGTCTTTTTTCTTTTTTTTTAAAAATTGTATCAGGTTGGTTTTGCACTAAAAATGACTCTGGTGCCGTTTTATAACAGAGGCGGAGTCTTCTTGGTTTTGGCCAGGCGTGAATGACGGGACGCTGCGATGGACTCGCAGGCTGTTGCAGGAGAAGTCAGACAACCAGAGCCTGGATCAGCCCCGAGCAGGTGAGTCACTGTGTTTTTAAACTGGATAGATGCCATCTGCTCCTCCAGGACAGACCAGCAAACTCCCCCAGACTGTCTGCAAGCACTTCCTTATCATTCAGTGTAGGGGTGGGTGATATGGATAATATCTTCTATAAACATGTATGTAATGTTACATCACAATGCTGAAATGTATTGTGATATTTTACATTTTCTCAAAACCGATAAAATTGAGACAAGCAGATAGGAATGGTTATCTATTTTTTTTTTTTACTTATCCAGTGAATTCAATACAGGAAGGAAGGATTTATTTCTGGGCTGTTAAACTGACAACTGAGTGTATATTGTCATATTGCACATGCCTAATTCATGGTATGATATTTGGAACTACACACACCCAACATGACCGGCAATGGTGTGCATTGTATTGGTGAGGAAGTTCATTTGAGAGACTATTCAGAAGATGTGGAGAGTCACAAATGGTTTAGCGGTGTCATTTTTCTACATTATGTGCATGTGTGTGGTGTATGCAGGTAAACGGTAAAGGAAGGCGGAGTGTACCATTTCTGCCTCTCCCCTGCAGGTGAACTGAAAGGTCATGCGGACTAAGCATTGTGTTAGTTGACAGGAGTGTGTAGTCAGTGTCAAGCGTGTGCTCTGAAATACTCGAAAAGACAGACGGAGCACAAAAGAGGAGGCTGAAAGGAGAGTGAAGTCAGATTGGATTTTCTCAGGTTGTCTTTTTTTTTTTTTTGGAGATGCCAAGTTATTTTCCTCGAGTGTGGTTGCACGGTGAAGATTTTGGACAGATTCAAACTGCTCTTTGTCAATTTATTACTGAGACATGCAGCCAATCGACAGCAATAATCAGACCCGTGTTTCTCTGGTTCCCAGGCTGATTAGCTGGCTGGCTGACATGAGCCGCAGTCATCACAGCTGACAGTTTTATTATTAAAAATTCAGATCAGAGAGGAACTGTGTGGGGAGAATAGCACTGAGTAGATAAAATAACACAGCTGCACAAAGAAAAACCTTTTGCCTCACTGACAATATACAATTCTGTATCTTCAGATCATTTGCATTTACTCTACGGCTGTGCTAATATTAGACTGTCAGTCACAATGTTGTATTGTATGCAAATGAGTATACAATTTCTCCCAGAAATTGATGCAAGTCAAGTTATGCTAATTCTATACTATGCAAATAACCTGGCACCTCAGGTGTGCCTTCTGAGGGTGTGTAACCAATAAAAAACACACAAACACACACACAATGAATAATCGCCAGCTTTTTAAAAATAGATTTGAGTGAATGACGCTTGCCTTCTATGAGCAAGGACGTGCACATGTGGCAGTAAAATACTAAGTGTAACTCATTGTGAAGTCTTGGAGACTTCCCAGAACCTTTCACTTTTATCTTATTCATCACAGCAGTTGGGAAAGATCATCATGTGAGGGCATCCTAGTTTATTTACATAATGTGCACACGACACTAGCACAGCATGGCTATTCTTAATCCAGTCAGTAAGGTTTGATTTATAGTAATTTGATAAATTCTGTATCAAGACATTTTTTTAGTTTGGACGTCTGGCCTTGACTTGCTCAGTTATCCACTGTATGACCAGAGATTTTAGTTTTCATTTAATTCACTGTTTTATCGCCAAACGTCAACTCTCCATTTTGAGCTTCTGATAATTTTATCTGGAGAATTCCACAGTGACATTACCAATAATTTATTAGTTATATTTTTGGAGAGCTTATATTTGAGAGGTGCATGAATACTGACTCATCAGGGACAATTGATCTGGCACTTGCAGTTAATTCACACAATACAGGCACCTCACTGTCCCGCTGCTGTCACACATCCTCATCTGTGATATTACACCAGAGTTTTTTTTCCTTTTTTTCTTCCCCACACTTGAGAGAGAAAATAATGAGACTCGGTGTATGTCTCCACCAGTGCTCCATTTTCTCTGTACAGCCATTTGTGTTTTGCTACCTGATAACATACTTAACCTTTATTGAGTTCCTGGTTGCAAACAGATCTCCCTCATTATCTCTCACAAGGACACAAGCGTACTGCGGCTGGATACTTCATTGTACTTCATTTCGCCTGCTTGTCTCCAGCGGGAGACAAGCAGGCGAACAAAAAGCTGGACAGGTAGTATAAGACACAGCAGTGAGTACGGCTCCAGGCCCAGGTTGCCGCCCTGTTCCTCAGCAGGCCGTCTGACAGTGATTGCATAATCTGTAGTGTGATTAAAAAACCTGCCCTGGACCTCGGGGGATATTATATTGGGGATTGCACTGTAACGTCCAGCCCCAGGCTCTCTTTCTCTCTTTTCATCCTTCCACTACTTAACAAGATGGAGACGGTTTGATCCGCCTTCAGCTGACAAGCCTCGGAGACTGTTGTTGCTAGGCAACTGAATGCTAAATTTTGAAACCCAGACAATTCTGTCTTTCAAACATTAAAAGTGCAAAGCAAAGAACTAAAAATAGACTGTGAGGAGATGAAGGAGGGGTGAATGAATCCAAATAATGTAAATGAAGTAAATGGCTCATACTGTGTGTGTCGCTGAGGCTTGTTATGTTGTTTATTTTGGCAAGAGACTGTCAGCTGAGAATAGTATTTTTCCACTGCCATGTTTTCTGGGGGGTTTTTTTTTGGTAAAGCATTGAAAAAGAGAGGCTGGCAGATAATCTAACACAAATTGTCTTCAAATGGTCTTGGACTTTTATCAGGACAGCCAGATTATGGATGCCACACAAAGCAAACAGCAGTTAATGTGGCCATTATTTGTAGCCATGTGAGGTTGTGGAAAATGTGAAGCAGATACGGTTGGATCCTGTTCAGTCCCTTTTACTTTCTGCCCACAAAAACAAGTCAACATTTAAGGAAAAAAAAGCAGCGGCTAAAACTGACTGTCAGGTTTATCATAAAAGTCCTCTTAAGTCCTGTTTACCATTGAAAAGAAGATGTTTTACTGTTTCCTCTGACTTTACGTTTTACTTTAAATCTGTTTAACCAGCTGACGACAAATGGTTTAGCATGATCGATATGATCCGGCAGAGCTACACCCAGCAGTTTTTTTTTTTGTTCACTTCTGTCACAACAATGTAACATGATGTTTGGTGTTTTTATTGACACGTGAGGTGTGTGTGTGTGTGTGTGTGTGTGTGTGTGTGTGTGTGTGTGTGTGTGTGTGTGTGTGTGTGTGTGTGTGTTTGTGGTGTGTTTGTTAGTGCGGTCTGAAGCGCTGCTGCCGTTTCATCAGAGACGTATTCAAACTGCCTCAAAGGAAAGAAATCAAAGAACAAATGCATAATTGAATTTACATTACACACCTGGATGAAATATTTATTTTTTGATTCCTCATGAAAAATGCAGCGGTGTTGCATAGGTGTGTGTGTGTGTGTGTGTGTGTGTGTGTGTGTGTGTGTGTATATGTGTATGGTTGGTTCATGATACGACTTTACTCAGTGTGCCAGTCAATACCATAGCTTGACTCCAGGACCCCTGCAGACTTTCAGATCAATATATTATTCAGTCCCGCCCACTGCCTGTCATTCAGCACTTGTAATGCCTTCAGATAATTTTGCACGGCATTGACCTTTTACTTGAAGATCTAATCTAATCTGCTGCACAGGCTTTATTGTTCAGCGCTCACATAATATACATATTGGGATAATGACAAATATCTGTGCATCACTCAGATGCACAGTGAACATTGCGACATAAACAGTTCAGATTTTTAAAAAAAACAACCTTTTTGATGGAGCTTACATCAATGCTGTCTTAAACTTAAAACTGAAATTGTCTTCTGTCATTATTATCTGATACAAATTACACCAAAATAAACTCGTAACTGCCGGAGTTTGAAATAGACAACAGGGTTTAATTATTGCAATAAATGTTGTGGAGTCAATTAAAAGCTAATAAAGTTTTATAGTGTTGACACTCATGCTGTGTTTAACCATAAAGCAGATGCATTACAGCAAATTTACGCTTTCCTTCTTAACAAACAATTCTACTATATCTGTTAGTTATCTTTTTCATTAAACAAAGGCAGTATAAAGTTTTAGAGCAAAACACAATGAGTGTGAAAATCATGACACACAAGAGAAAGAGAGTGAAAAACAAACAATGAAAAACTAACAATAGCCCTACCCCAGGTATTATGTTTCATTCATTTTCAAGTAAATATCTTTCAACTTTAATCCACCTTGTGTTCAACACATCTAGCTCAGTTGTTAGAATGTGTATAAATTCGTATTCTTTCTAGCTTTTAACAGAGATGGAATCAACACTGTATTTTTCATTTATAGTAATATCATATTCACAATTTAGGGCAAAGAAATTCTGATATTCAAATTTTCTATAATTCTCCCACTCCCACAGCAAATCCATGAATTTCATGCAGTGAACAGTGAAGAGCCAGTTTATTTTATTCACTTCTTCAGGTGGTATGAAAAAAAAATATGTTTAATACTTTGGGTTGTAACAATTCATTGCTATCCTAGCATTTCTCCTATATGATGGTTCAGACCTCCCTCTTTTAAGAGAGGATCACTGACCCGGTGGTCTTCACATCTTTTCAGTAAGATTTTGGTTTGTGAAGTTGAATAAATCACTGTCTTGATCCACTTCAAATACACAAAAACTAATTCACAAGAAACTTTATTTCCCAAAGAGTTGTTTAGTTATTCTTCAGTGTAAGTCTGGGGGGAGGTCTTCCCCACTCAGCATTACATACACTTATTACTGACACAGTTTGTTCCATGTTGCCTCACAGCTGACAAGATGGAAGCGTTGCAGGAAGTTTGAAGAAATGTCACACAACTTCAATATCTTGTGAAATGAAGTGATGTGTTTTTAAATGAAGGAAGATAAACTTATCTGTACAGAATTACTGATGCACTAGAAGCTGTTCATATTAGAGTGATGATTTAGGATCCTCTTCATTTAGTAAATTAAACATTGTTCCTTGGTTTGCTGATTTTTACCCTTTTATCAATGAATGGTAACATAGTTTAGTTCAGCCAGTTTATTAAAGCTTCACATTTGCCCTTTGTCTGCTTCCTCCTACACAGGAAGTGATGTTCTTCATGTTACAGCAGAAGCCACAGCAGCCATAAATGTGTGAGACGGTTGAGGAAATGTATGGTGTTGTTTACACTTGTGGATTATGTTTTGAGGAGTACTTCAGCTTGTGTAGAAATGAAACAAAGATATGTGAACTGCTGTGACAGATAGAACTAGATCAGAGGTGATTGAACGGTGGGAGCAGTTTGTGATTCTGGCAGTGAAAAGCCACCAAGCACAGAGAGAAGTGATGTTAGAGGTCTGAGTACAGAGTGACTTCTATTGTCGGAGCCGTAACCGTACGTCAACGTCGTACTTGGACCTCTGATTACAAAATGACTGATTTTAATCGAGCTGATGGCACATCTGGCTTATATTCCTGATTTGGGAAGTTGCAAATGTGCAGTCCTGTGTAATGCGGGTGTTTCAGTTTGTGGTCTTGTGTTGTGAAACCACAGCGTAAAAGTCTTGGCAGAGTACATTCCTGTCCAACAGCCTTCAGTAAACCAGCACACTGTTTCTGTCTCTATGTATCTCTGTGCCGTTTTCCCCCCTCCCTCTTTCTCTCAGACCTCTCCTGAGGGTTTGTAAGGAAAAATAAATATTTTTAGATATTACGGTCCAGAGCTGCTGTCACTTCTTTTTTTTTTCATTTTTCATAAACCCTAACCATGGGAAACACATATTCACCTCCCCCCTTTCTCACTGTTCACGCAGTCGCCCTGCCTTTGGCTTCCTACTGCCACCCATCAAAAAAAAAAAAAAGAAGAAAAAAAAAAGCTGCCCCCGGGGAGAGGGTCACCATAGCAACTGCCTTCACCAGAGCAACTCTTCAAAGCGTCCATCTGAGCTGCATATTGCAGCCCTGAGTTTCTACCTACAGCATAACCTGGGAGTTTATGTTTTGGGGCAGAAAGGAGACTGGAAGTCTTCCAGTGCAGTTAGACAGGACACCGGGAGCAAAGAGGGAGGTGAAAGAAATAAGGCCACAGAGAGCACAGATGTCCAACAGCTGATCAGCTTGAGAGGCTGCTTCAGAAGACGCATATAGTGCAGCTTCACATCCAGCCTCTGTTTCGTGCAATAAGATGACACAAAGTTTACATGCTAAGCCTGGATGATTTAGTGCACGAGCCCTGCCCTGCAATAACAGCTGGCACACAGAGAAAATAGGCTTTTTCCTCAGTCGTCTAAGAGAGCAGAAAACAGAGATGCAGCCCCCTGTCAACCCTCAAAAACTCACTTCAAGTCTAGGCCCTGAAAAGATGTATATTACAGCACAGCAAGCCTGCAAGCAGACAGGCAGCGCTTCACTCTGGCAGTGACACAAATGTGTAAACATCAGTGCACAAACATTTACATTTTCTAACTGAACACGACCAAATTGCTGTCCCCTCCCCAGGACCATATGGTCTCCTCCTCTCAGTCTCTGACACTGCAGTGTCAAAGATCACATCTCATATCCCCCATCACAAGGGACCCAATCTTAATCCACACAGTCTGTTGTTCAGTTTCCATGCAGCCGCGGTTCAGCGTGCAGCGTGCATCGTGACGGCTGCACCGTGCTTATTGTGTGCCTGTCAAGCCACTGTTGTCTCACACAGCAGAAGAGCTATAAATAGCTCCATGCTCCCCCATAGTTTAAATTCATCCAGCTCGGCTCAGAGTTGTAAATTGGAGCTGTACCGCACACTCGCCGCACACTCTCTGCGGAACGTCAAGGGAACACAGGGACACTAAGCCGTCATTAACAGTTTTCCATTTCTTTTACACTCGAGGAAGGACAGGAAGCAGCTGCCACTTTCACTTCCACCTCACTTCCTGTCTCACTGTTGAGTGCAAGACAAACAATGTGTCCAGAAGACGTTGTGGGTTTTTGCTACATCTGTTAGAAGTTGTGTCTCAAATGAGACACACAGGATGATAACACTGTTCTTTATACACTTTGACTGAGGATTGAGGATTTAATGAAAGAAGGTAATACTTTAAAAATGAGGCTTTACATCAGAAATCAAAAGGAGACAAAGCATCTTATATTTCATCTGGGAAAAAAAATGTCACAAGCAAGAGGACAATAAGTAAAATATGTAATCTATTCCCTATTTAATCTATTCCTTAGTGACTGAAATGAGCAAATGAGACTTTATAGAAGTTGTATCAATGTGTCACAGACCATTTGGACCACTTGGGTCAGTATCCATTTGTTTTTGCACATTTTTTCAGTAGATAGCATTAAGATTGTGTTATTACAAAAAACAAATGTAAAAAATTAAACTTGAAATGTAGTCTTTAGTTATTATCATGTCCCCCCCCCCAACAGCCATCCATGAGTTTCCAGAGGACATCTTTACCAAGGAGCAGAGGAAGAAGGGGGCTGTGTTTCTGCATGCACTCTGCGTGAGTATTTCACACAAAATCAGTTTCTTGACTTTATTTACATCCTTGACTCAAAACGCTCAAAAGATCTGACATTGTATATTCCAAAGAAAGACCTACATAACAGGAAGGATGTGAATGTGTCCCTCCGCTCTCTTATCTGTGCTCGTACAGGCCATCTACATGTTCTACGCACTGGCCATCGTCTGTGATGACTACTTTGTCCCTTCCCTTGAGAAAATATCTGAGGTGAGGAAAAACGATCAGTATGCTTTTCTTAAAATGAATTATATATTTAATAATTATATTTTGATCTGTTTCTTTTTTTTTTAATCTTGCAGAACCTGCAGCTCAGTGAAGATGTGGCTGGGGCGACATTTATGGCTGCAGGAAGCTCTGCTCCCGAGCTTTTCACCTCTCTTATTGGTTAGTAGGTCAGCCAGTCTACACCGTTTTGAGAGAGCCTGTCAGAATTTATTCCGAACATTTGAAGGCATAAATGCTGGAATTTCCAGTCGTCCTCTCAGTCGCTGCAGTGCCAAATTCATCCAGGAGATGTCAGTGGAGTCTAATTTAAATTAAACTTCTACAACTCTCAACTACACTCTTGATTTAAATCAGTGTTTAATACCCCTTCCTATTTTCAGGCCTTGATTTTTTAAAAAAAAGAAAAATCTGTCTCTCCATTTCAGATGTTTTAATAAATGTTGTAAATCAGTTTGATTTGGAGTCAAATTTATCGGGAAAGTTTTCTGTCACAAATTGCTTTAAACCAGAGACATCCAACTGAGAAGGCACATAGTAAATAAAACACAGAGTGTGTGTGTGTGTGTGTGTGAGTGTGTGTGTGTGTGTGCGTGTGTGCGCCAGGCAGATCGACAACAGCGCACAGAAGGTGATAGGTGTTGACAGACTGAGGGGATTTTTTTTTTATCTCATCTGAAACCAAACAAAGCGACACAGTTGACCTCCTCTCATCCGTCTGTGCCTCCCACCCTCAGGTGTTTTCATCACCAAAGGAGACGTCGGAGTCGGCACGATCGTGGGCTCTGCGGTCTTCAACATCCTGGTTATCATCGGCCTGAGTGGGATCTTTGCGGGCCAGGTATGAAAAAACCCATCATTTTACATGTAGTTCTTACTGAAAATTGAACACTAACATTTCTAACTTTTCTCTCCAGACTGTGCATTTGACATGGTGGTCTCTTTTTAGAGATTCCTCCTACTACATCCTCTCTGTACTGACTCTCATCATGGTGAGATGTGCTTTTCACCAAAAGAATCCATCAGTGTTAAGCTTTTCCTCTTCCACATTGGGCTTTAAAGAATCTGTTTTGTTTCCTCTCTAGGTTATCTATGATGCTACAGTTGTCTGGTGAGTCCATATACCTTGAAATATGTTCATACTTTTTAGCTTTGAATAAATGTTGTAGTAAATGCTTGATTGCCTGCACGAGACAATGTTTTCCACTGTTTTCACTGATGCTAACTGAATAAATCAGTTTGGATTCGCCCGCAAGGCTCAGCTTGTTTGAAAGCTTTTCAAACTTTCTGCCAGGAATTTGATTAAATAAGGAGTTGCATTATATCATCACAGTTGATGGATAAAGGAGCTGACATCCCTGTTAACATTAAGTCACAGTGACGACATTGGCATGCTGATGAGAATCGTCCAAATGTCACAGAAATTTACTTCAGGCTCACTTTAAGGCTCATTTACAGCAGGAAACTCACAATTATATACCATTAAAAATGTATTGAATATATACAACGCTCTGTATCACAGTCAGTGCTCATCATGTGATCCCATTTCCATAGAGACACTCTTACAGCAGCTATCTGTACTCAGACAACAGATCTGCAATTTCATCTCCTTCCTCTCCCGCTTTGATTGATGTCACAACCTCCTCCTCAATTGGCTGTTATTACAATCATGAAGATGAAGGTGTCAGCAGGTTCAATAGTCAGTGATTGTGGAGCATGTTACATCGATATGGTTCCTGATTTGTATTCGGCAAATAATGATACATCTGAACATTTATTTCAGCTACCTGTATTTCAGAGTCGGCAGAGGTGACGAAGAACACGTTCAATTTAGAATTCGTTTTAAAAGGACTTTTCATTTGTATAGTTTGTGTGGAGGAGGTGCGTGTCATTAGTAACAGCCACTTCACATACAGTCGGTGGTTCTGAAGCTTAACTTTTGGATTAAATGGCTGATTTCTTTTGTGTAGATTTTCTTTCTCAACAGGCTCATTTGGTGCTTAGCTTCTAAGGTGTCCTGAATGTTTTCGATCCTGTCGACCTGAGGCCTGTTGCTAAAAAAAAATAAAATAAAAAGGGGCCATTGTTGTATGTGTCAATGGTTTTAATGAAAGAACAGATTTAATCATGGACTTAATGTCAGCTGGGCCAGAGCATTCATCGGTGATATATGGAGGACTGTTATTGAATTGCAGCGCGCTGAGCCAAAGCTGTCCTGCTGTATTTCACCTGGACCACTGTTCCTCTGAATGCTCTGTGGCAGATTTGTGTTTTTAGTTGGCTTTGCCAAATCACTGCATGCTCAGAATATCTGAGATATGAGTCTGCACATGTGCAGCAGCGGTCATCTAGTGTCTGACCAAGTGAAGCAGCTGTTTGCATGAGTTCAGTTCGGGTGTTTGTCGGGGAATGTATTTCTCTGGCATTAAATATTCATGACTAAATACATAATCATCAAAGTTAAAGTTCTCAAAAGAAACATTTTGAGTTACATGAACAGTTTATTAAGAGTTTTAAACTTATCTGCTTCATCAGAGCTGTGTGGGTTCAATTTGATTCAAACAAAACTGAAGCAAACAACCACCATCAGCTTTTTCCACCTGAGCCGTGGCCACTTCAAACCAGTGAGAAAAGCAAGGATAAAAACACAAATACAGAAATAACCAAAGCTGTTCTTATTTTATATATATATGTAAAGTACTGTAATCCTGACATAACTTTTTTTTTTTCATCTTTCAAAAATCTTCTGTTTCTTATACAACAAATATAAGGAATGTTATAAAGCAGATGATAAATATTTAAAAATGAATTATATTTAACATTATTCACACATTTATATTGATGTAAGGCATTACACACACCACTGGCATTACAGTAGGATTAAAGCAAAAGTAAAGGTTAACTATACTATGTAGTATGTATCTTTGATGTGCAGTTTCGAATGGAGGTTCACTTACAGTGCAAACACCAACTGTGTAACTGTGTTGTATGTCAGACTAGACTAACACAAATCTACTGCTTGCTGTGCAGGTGGGAGTCCTTGCTCCTCATGACCATGTATGGAATCTACATTATAATCATGAAGTAAGTTTACCAGGAGACCAAACTTCCTCATCAGTCATCACGCCTACACATACACGTCATTCTGACTCACACGGACTCTGTTTGTTGTATCTATGGATATAAACACAAGGTACCTGTTTGGCTGCAGGTTCAACTCCCAGATTCTGGCGTTTGTGACGCGCCAGTTGAGAAGCGTCAGGCCGTGCTGCGTCGGATCAGAGGATCCCAGAGAGGACAAGATGGGAGAGGATGCCTCCGCTTGCAACACCTCCATGGTGCTGCTCAACAAAGGTCAGAAGGTGTTACACCTCAGGCTAATCAACGTGTCTGTGGGGTTTTTGTTTTTGCTGCCAGTCAATGCTTCCTGGGATCTCAAACAGTGTGTTAAATGTAAATGGAGTGCTATTTGTGTTTCACACCTCTTTCACAGGCCAAGCCCATGGTCAGGAGCCTCCTCCGGTCATGATGGTGGATGAGCTTCTCATCCTCAACCCCCACAAACTGTCCTTCTCTGAGGCCGGCTTGCGTATCATGATCACACCCCACTTTTCCCCCCGCACCAGGCTCTCCATGGCAGGACGCATGCTCATCAGTGAGGTACGTGACGCAAGTATCACAGATCATAAGACAATCTGCCCTGGAGCTCCCCAACAAAAACCTCCCGCTCCCGCTCTCACAGAGACAGAGGCTGATCCGGACTTCGAAGAACCAGCGGGCCGGTGAGGCGGGCCCCGGGTCAAGAGGCGGGTCAACCAGCAACAGCCTGAAGAGGACGGGCTCCTGCAGCCTGGAGAATGGAGGAGGGATAGGAGACGCAGAGTTAGCAGACAAGCCAGGGGTGGAGGTGTGCCAGCCAGAGGAGGAGGAAGATGATGAAGATGGGATTTTCAGTCCTGTGCGCATACCAGGTGAGGAAGATCCAGCACCAGTTGTTAACAGCCACAAGTGATGATTTGAAATGATTTGTTTCTTTTGATGGATTATTGGGTTTAATCAAACAATTTGACGACTGACTTTAACAATTGTGTCACTTCCAAGCTGCTGGAAGCTGTGCCTGAGATATTTTGGTGTTGTTCCTCGGCTGATAAAAAGTCACTTTTAATTGATTGATTAAATACTTGATCCTGATGGGCCTGACTTCCTGCTCTTCACAGGTGGCTGCTGTGCGCGGGTGAAGTGGGTGATCACATGGCCTCTGGGCCTCCTGCTCTACTGCACTGTGCCTAACTGTATTCTGCCACGCTGGCACCGCTGGTTCATGGTCACCTTTGTGGCCTCCACCCTGTGGATCGCCGTGTTCTCCTACCTCATGGTGTGGATGGTAAGGAGGCAGGACATATGCCTTGCTGACAGATACTGAACTCAAACACAGAAACAATAAAAAAAAACCTACAAACGGATGCCAGGGGTGGCCGCTGTTGTTTCAACACAGAGTGATTATTTTTAGCATGTCACCGCAAAATGTTCCCTTTGTGTACATTGTAGATGATGAATTGTGAAAAGGTGACGATACTGCGGCACACACTTATTTACTTACTTAGCTGAATACTTGACCCTGATGTGTCCTAATGTTTCTATCAGGTCACCATCATCAGCTTCACTCTAGACATCCCAGACTACATCATGGGCATAACCTTCCTGGCAGCAGGGACCAGCGTGCCAGACTGCATGGCAAACAATATTGTAGCTCGACAAGGTAAAAAAAAAAGAAAAAAAAAAAAGAGTACAACTCTGAATCTCCCAACTCCAGATCTTTTGCTTGTCTTCTCTTTGTGGTGCAAGTGCTTCAATTCAGCACTTTTCTGTCACTTTTCCCATCTCTTTTCAGGCATGGGGGACATGGCTGTGTCTAACTCCATAGGCAGCAATATCTTTGACATCCTCTTGGGTTTGGGTTTCCCCTGGGCTTTGCGTACCCTTGTGGTGGACCACGGATCATCAGTATGCACATACTTTATCTCCCTACTATATGAGTCCTTTCTTCTTTCTGCCTTTCCTGGGTTACTGATGTGTGCATGTGTGTGAGAGAGCTACCAAGGCAGAGATTTTGGGTTAGATGTAATAAAACTGTGACACTTTTTTCTCACAGGTCTTCATAAATAATAAAGGGCTGGTGTATTCTGTCATCCTGCTGCTGGCGTCTGTGTTTCTGACAGTGAGTAAACAAAACATACTAAACATTGCACAGTTGTTTTCATGTCTGCCCGGGTTTCATTTTAGATAAAGATGTTGTAGACAGTTTGACGTCAAGTGTCTTCCATCTCTCACCTCATTGTATCGTACAAATCTGCATGCAAATATGTCCTGTGGTCACGTCATGAAAGGGACAGAACACGTTTGATGAAATAACTGAAATGTCATTAAAATAATTTCAGTCATATAATTAGAAGTCCTCAGGATTATTTGTACTACATGTTAGAGCTTGACAGATATATGGGAAAAGCCGATATCATCACCCAATTTTAGCTGATCGCAGAAATATTTGTGTTAGTTAATATGTTAGCAGATGCAAAATTGCTGAACAGAAATGCCAATTATATGTGTGAGGTACTTTCCAAACACGTTGTCCATCAGAGTGCTCTGTTTCAGCTATAAAATATTGCATATCTCGGTCACAATTATTTATTATTAAAATTTAAAACTATATTATTATATAACCAATGGATCAAGTGACTGTGTGTAATGTGACAGTTGTCACTCATAATCATCACCTGACTTTCCTCTTAACTCTACAGGGAATCAGCTTCTGTCACTTCAATATTTTGTTTTTATGCGCCGACAATTATTGTCAGTTTTGTTTCTAGTCGCAGCAGGTGGCTGTTTACACTTTAATCCACTGTACATTACCTGCCCAGCGGCAAACAGATGACTGATGAAGTCGGCAACTAGTGTGCATTAGTAGGCGACTGTTTGCTAGCACATTCTCCCCAACTTTGTCCATGTCCATGTTGTATTTACATTTTGTTGCACTGCCCCCATGTGGGCAAAAATTTTTTTTTAGGTTTTTTTAAAAAGGTTTTAAGGGATGCTCATCAAAATAGTTTTTTTAATTTTTTTTTTTTTTTAAGAAAAATAAACATGATGGTTATTGGATTTTTAAATTTTTTTTAACCCTAAAATATCAATATTGGCCTCAAAAATTCAGTATTGGTCTGTCTCTCTTATATGTCCACTCTCCTAACAATAACCTGCTTTACTAAACGCAATAGGATTCATAATTAATATCCTTTAATATCCAGTTGTCTCATGCTCCTCATCGCTCCTTCCTCACCACTGTCTCTCCGCTTGCAGGTGACAAGTGTTCATCTGAACCACTGGAAGCTGGATCGCCGGCTGGGTTTGGGTCTGATGTTTCTTTATGCCATCTTCCTGCTCTGCTCCATCCTCTTTGGGCAGATGTGAGGCCTTAAGGTCAAAGGTCAAACCCGGTCAGCCAGCATGCCGAGTACCTACCTTCCTACCACATGTCCTCTTTTGTGAAGCCAAAAAAAGAAAAAAAGAGTGACATCATTGTTGTGTTCCTTGTGAGAGTTTCTGTGCACCTCAATAGGAGTCGCTAGGATGATACTGTACACATGCAACCACACAAACACACTGAAATCCATCAACAGCACAGTCGTTGTTCAAAAGCTGTCAGTCGATTATGTATCAAATTGGGTGACTGACCAAAAAATTGAATGACATGGCAGATGGAAGCTGCTGGATTGTTGAGCCAAGATGAAACAGGAAAAAAAACAGTTCTGGCCGTCATTAGCTGGGTTTTCTGCACAGTGTTGTGGCTATGCAACAGCTAACTGATATTATAATAATTATATAATATAACTGAGCTAAAATTTCAGTTTACATCCCATGACAAATTTGACATTATATTACATGCCTGTTTTTAAATTTGAATGTACAAAAATGAATCTTTCGGCCTTTTCTATGAACATTTGTTGCGAAAAGCAGCAATTTTGAAGAAGGTCAGCTGCGCTAAAACTCTGCCAAATTAGTTTACTAGCCTACTAGCTAACACGCTACGAATCCAAACTGCTTCTGCTTAATAATTACTTTTTGAATAAATTATGTGCTAATACTATTTCATTAGAGCAATAAGCCATTAGAAGTAACACACATACACACTTTAACACGTTGATGTACATGACACATGTCACATTAATTGTTAATATTCCACACAGTGATCTTAAATGAGGTCTTAATGACACAAACGTCTTGTTCTGTTGGGACTATTGCAGTTCTTTTCCTCTGAGTCTACTGTTCAATTTATTTATTTATAATATTAATGTTCGTATTGTGAATGCTGCTGCAGCCAAGCAAATAATTAACAGGATTGTTAGGTCGCTAGTTGGCTTAATTAACAACACAGTAAACAAAAGTCATTTCCAATAGAGAAATGTACCATTATTATCCTGCATCTTCTCTGCTGCTGTATCCACATATTAGCTCCTCAGGATTTTTAGAGACACTAATCAAACAGTTTTGGGAGGGTATGCAGAAGCAGCAGACAGCTGCAGTTATGATTTACTGCAGGTGAAATGAGCCGTTAAAGTGAGACTACCCGTTAAAAACCCCACAAGGCTACAGTACGGAACAAATTGTCTTCAAAACAAGTCAGGGACCAGGATGTGTGACAAGAGGCTGGAATTCAAATGCGGCTGTGGTGATAATGGATGTTCTTCATGTTGTTCATTTGAAGAAGCAGTGCTGTAATCTGCCATGTCATGCATCAGATTAATTGAATTGTCTGTCGGCCTTAGGTTTGAATACCCTTGTATGTTTTGAATGTACACCCTAGCTGACTTTACCATTAGTGTGGAAATATTTACATGCATTCAAATGTAGCAGGTGGCACTGAATTACAGCGAAGAACCTCTGAACAGACAGTGAGGTACTTATTAGTTCTACAATAAAGGACACCGTGTATGTGTCAGAAGACTTTTAGAATAGAACCATTGATATGAAAATGCACATTATTGTGACAATATTTTGACGATTTTGCCTCACTACTTATAAGCAAGTATTGGTACAGCTTAATGTACGTAAGAAGTTTTACAGTATTTTTAGGTCTTATTACTATGAAATCTAATATATAATGTACTTCTATGAGTGTCACAAACTTTGACTTTGAGTGCAGGTTAGTTGTAATACTTCACGTTTAGGTACAACAATCGATGTTTGTATTGTTTCTTGTACATTTTATGAGACTAATTCACTTTGGTGGAACATTTTTACAGTTTGCACAAACTTGGATCAGGACGGACACAGAACAATATACACTCACACATATATACTGGTGTGTGTGTTATAGCGAATAATGCTGCATATTCCATATTCATGTACACCAGCTGCTCTTCTGTCCTGTAAGAAAGCACAACAATCTGGATTCATTCCCGTAATACAATAATTTTTAGATTTTTTGAGGATGACATGCTGTCAGTTTTTTTACTCATGAATTCAAGATCTGTTCCACCAAAGGGATGAGGGTTTTTTTTTTTTTCAAATGGCTGTGTAATTATTATCATTGTCTACTTGACAATACTTTTTACTGTTTGTAAATGTTAAATAATTTACATAGTTTTACGATAATGAATGTCTGACAGAGACTAGTTTTGTGGTGTTTTTGATATTTAAAAAAAACAAAAAAACAATGTAGCCTACTTGTGAATTATAACAGAATGAACGCATATTTTGTCACTGTTTAGTGGAATAAGGCTGTAACATCAGACTAGCACTCTAATTAATTCAGTTGCAGTTGTATTTTCATCTTTGAATCTTTTCAGCACTAAGATTTTCCTTTATTTCAGTATTGATTCATTGACACACTCAACCTTATTTCATGCTGAAACACACAGAAAATGAGACTCTTATTTTACAGGCTGAAATTAAGTAAAAAAAAAACAAAACAATGTTTTAATGAATAGCTTGAATATTCAAATTAGTGAGTGTAAAAGCAGTTGATTGAGTTTTTCTCAATTGTTGAAATTAGTTTTGACTTCATACCGACAGTTCATTGAAACCATTCTCCCCTTTGAACTGGAGAAATACTTAATTTGGATGACAGTACGTATTCACCCCTTTTCCCACTAAATTGTCTCAGAACCTTTAATTGTTTCATCTAATATTCATACTTTCTTTTTTAGCGACAGTTTAAAAGTGTAGTTGCATTTAAACACACTTAATCTCATCTGCTCAAATTTTATTGCACGAGTTTTGAAACCAGATCCCATCAATGCATGTTAATGGGGTTTTAGAGTGACGGATGACTTTTAAAATGAGAAAGCCAAAAAGAAAGAAGAAAAGAAGTGATAATTATCCTGCAAATGTCTGCCAGAAGCTGTACTTTTCTATCAGAAAAGTGCTGTCAAGGTTGGAGTAATAGTTTGTAGGAGGGCTTTTCTGTGTCACTCACCATTAACAGAAAACTCTGAACCAGTGATGAAACAATAAGTCAATGAATCGTTTAGTTGATCAACAGAAAATACAGTTATTGACAGTTATTCTGATAATCAGTTATTTGTTTGGGTCATTTATCAAGCAAAAAAGCCAAACCTTCACTAGTCAAAGGATTTGGTGCTTTTCCTCTTTGAGACTGTGATGCTGGATGAGCAAAACAATTGCTTTGTCGGGGACTGGACAAATTGGGAAACTGAGATGGGATTTTCTCTAATTTATGGATTAAAAGATTGATTGATTAATTGCAAATATAATTACAGATTAAAACATTAGAATGAAAATAATCCTTGGTTTCCTACTTTTAATTTGTCGTTTTTGTTTAGTTTGCATCACCGAAAAACAGACACTGTCTTTTCATATCCTCTATTTCCATCTTTTTTAAGCATTCTCAACCGCAATTCATTGTTTTACCAGGTGACAAGTTTTTTCAGTCAGCTGTTGGAAGTCTCTGCTATAAGCTCTTGTATTCAAATCTAGTAATAATTTCAATACATCAGTCATGGCTACAGAAAGACACAACAGCTCCAAACCAAACCAAGCTGAACTCCTGTACATGTTGTGGTTTCACAGCACAGAGGATGTTCTGTTTATTCTGCTGTGATGTTGGAGGTAGAAGATATTTTAGTTCAATTTTATTGCTTTAGAGGTCGTATTGGATCATAGAAGACTGTTGTATCTTGAGTGCAATAAAAAATGTGCAATAACAAATCATCTCTTTCTCCTGTTATTTTCTGTAGGTAGCAGTGATAGTGGATGGAGGTGGAGCTGCAGGCATTAAGTGTAGCTGAATGATTAGAGAGGACATTTAGTCCTTGACTGCCATCTAATGGAGTAAGATAGGAAAAACACATTTTTAATAGCATTTTTCCTACCCTGCCTTTCCTGCAGCACATCATACACTGTAATACACTAACATTTGTAGCTTGAAAGTGTAATTTGTGAGCAAAATTGTATCAAGGAAAAAATGCAGGTGAATTCAACATTTCTGATCTTTTCCAAAACTTAAACTAAACTATTGACGAATGCTGTTGTCCAATCTTCATTAAGGAAAAAAAGATAAATCAAACATCAGCAAATTATAGTGCTTAGTATTTTATTTCCTGAAGACAAATTTCTTACAATAAAACATTCCATCACAATCCAAATGAAAGTCCACCCTAAGAGAGTTCACCTACTGTGTAAACCTATGATCTCGGTTTAAACATATTTTGTTTTGAACAATTCTCTTCCAAAACTAGAAAACCATAATATGGTATTAAAAAATAATCGTATATAATTAAAATTAGGTAAAAGGTAAATTTTTTTTATGACTTTCCAATAAGCACAGCCTAGCCAAGTTGGATATTTGGTCCATCATTATTAAAGCAGTGTTCAAGGTGCAGCTCCAGAATTTGCCTCTTAATCACAATGCTTCTTGTTTCAAGGTTTGGAAGAGAGCAGCTCGGTTGATCACAGGATTAACTAGAAAGCAACTTCCACTTAAGCCCCAAAATGTCCCACACATCAGGTACGCAAACATCGATGAATACAAAAACAACCAGCAAAATATTCTAGTAGCCACTGTCTCTATATAACAGTAAGTGATGAGAAAATAAACCCAAGTTATACTCGTGTAATGCTTTAGTAATTGTTAGTTGGCTATTGAAACGACATGATAGCATGGTTAATTTATATTACACCACTTCCCAACACCTTTGCCGACCTAACGCTGAGACAACTATGTAGCATATGAGAGTGCAGACATTTACCGAGCATGCACTTGTTTAACTGTAGAATATGCAGTTATTGAAGCAGACACTGCACCTGTCATTACTATTTATCCCTCTGCCTTTGTCCCATCTATCTACAGCATGTTTCAACCCATTAAATACTGTTTCTGTTTGAGGTAAAGTAACTGCTTTAGCAGTTCAGCCAGACTTTTGTCTTTTAGCCTTGCCACAGAAGGAAACCATTGCATAATAAAACTATGAAAGCAGTGAGAAAAACAGCTGTCTCTCAATAGGACTATACATATACACATTTTTCTACAATATGGAGCCATCCATAATTGCTGCCACTGTCACCTATCTGTAAAAGCATTTTCTGAGAAATAAAATTTACAGTCTCACACATCATCTGCCGACAGAACCTAAACAAGCTCTGCTATGAGTCCCTGTGATTCCAGCATCCTACAGGAGCTCTTATATTGCTTTTACATTGTCAGCGAGTGACCATCTGCAAGGTCGCATAGTCCTCAATTACATTAAAATAATCTAGTGGTGTCGAAACATCAACAGATATTGGATATTGCATGATCAGCAAACTGCTAGAACACAGCAGTGAAGGCTTTTATCCCTATACCTGGCTGTAATGCAAGCAGATTTCATTTTTGATTTGACTGAAATCATCATCATAACATTGTCACATCTGTCTAAGAAAGGGCGAGGCGTGCAGATCAAAGACAAGTACCAGCATCAAGTCTGCTTTGTCTCTCTGCAGTCATCAGGACCAGAGTTTTTTCAGAAATGCCCCCAAAGCCTGAATGAAACATGCACGTCAGTATGTCCTTGTGCATCCTCTTGAGCTCTGTGCAGCTCAATGAGCCACTCAGCACACAAGAGTCAACAACCAGACTCAAGTCTAACCTGCCATCCCTGAAGTCCCTCAGGCTTTGGAGCCACTAGGTTTCTAATCATAGTTCCTGTTTCTGTGTGTGTTGGTGTTTGGCCAGTGGCAGTGGATGAGATGGAAAATCGTTTACAGTCTCAGCAGATCCCTTTCACTCTACCAAGTTAATCACCAAATATCAGCAATGCCATAAAAGAACATGGTTGTGGATTTTTCCATTAAGATGAGATGGGCACTAATAAAAATACCATTACATGACCATTCTTCTTCCAATTTTTACATACTTAACACTATTATATACCATAGAAATATATAAATACTATAAAATGTCTCTTTTTTACGATAAGCAAGCATTGGCATGCTACTTGATTCCAACAAGCTCCATTTCTGTTCTAGTTATAAAATCAGTACACTGCAGGATAGAGACAAGGGTTTAGCAACTTTGTGTAGGTCTATGTGTAAAAAGGCTGAACAGGAAGTCATAATTTGGCTATTTATGCTGTGTATGTTGTTGAAATTCAGTACCGCTCAAATCAGCTAAGTGGCAAACAGGTGAAAATAAAAATCTATGGGTCTGAATCTGAGCTTAGAACTGTGTAACAGTCATATCTGAAGCTAAATGAGGCCAGTCTGGTAAGATATACTTCCCTTTTCACAATTAATTGTCCGTTCTGAACACACTCCCACTGAGGTCAGCTTGTCAGGGGAGATTATCATCTGTCTTGAAGGGGAAACCATACTGCTGCGGGACGGTTGAGTGCTGAGTGTGTGCAGGCAGGAGTGGCCATCACGATGGTGGGGCGTTCTGGTTCTGGTATATGGAAGCTTTGTCTTTCAACAGGTCCAGACATAGATGACAGCTCCAGCTCCCTGAGTGGCAAAATAACAGAGAGGAACCATTAGTGTCAGAGATGTTTGAAGCTGTTGTTAACATCAACTTTGGCTACATTTTATCATGTATGTCCATGAGCCTAAAGTAGGCGACGCAGTCCACTAACTGCTTTATGGATGAAAGCCATCCTAACAGTAAGGCTCAATATTGAACATTAATACTTTTTTGGAACTAAATGAGATGTGTCTGTAGCACTCACTGCCAAAAAGCTGTCGAGCAGCAAAGTAAAAGCAAAAAACTCAAACCAGTTTCATAATCTTGTTTATTTATTCATTGATCAAATAGTACCTGATTTAAATAAACACTGACACTTTTAGTGTGTTTGTTTCTGTTGATTTGACATTTGAGAACTATTTTCATCTTTTGTTAAATGAAAATAAGGATTTTATAGAAAATATTTCTCATTAAGTGATCCAAAAAAAAATAGTGACTTGTGACCCTTCCAAAAAGAAGCTAATACATTTTCAGAAGCTATTAAAGATGTAGAGTCAGTCACTGCGATACCTTCAGTGCTTTTAAGCAACACAAGCAGACAAATTTCAGTGTTGTCTGACTCGAGGCTTTCAGCGTCTGATAAATGTACAAGCTTGGCTTACTAGGGTCAAGATTACAAGTCTTCTTTTTCCTCTGCTCAGCCTTGAAAAAGACAAAAATATGTGGGATATTTTTGGCTTTTCAAACTGCACAGTCCTAGTTCTACATTGCTGTCACAAACATTTTCTCTACAGAGCACTTTACTGAGTTTTTACTTTAGTTTTAACCCTTCACCTGAGTTCAAGCACATGCATTCATTATTTTCTACTTAGTGGAACACTGTTACTTACCCTCTGGAGGTTCAGACATGGGAGGGTTGAGACAATACATGTGATAGCCTCTATCACAGTCATCACAGAACAGAAGCTGATCCTGGAAGGAATGAGACGACAAATACACTTCAGCCCTCTGCCCAAACAACCTAGATCCTACTTAATCCGGTGGTTAGCATATAACATGTGAATGTAGGTAAACTCACATCATTCTCTGACGTGCCACACATGTTGCAGCACTTGCACTCTATGCACTGCCAGCGGTATGTCTTCACAGCGGCCATCATTACAGGAGTGAACTGCAGGCAAGATGGATGGCCTGCGGCGGAAATAGTTTTATCACTTTATTATTCCCGTTCTCACTGCTGCATAAATAAAAAGTTTTGCCGCTTTTGCTACTCTATATCAGCGTCCATATATCAACAACACACCTGAGCGTCCACAGTCGGAGCAGGACACCAGCTCCTCTGACTGACCAGTCTTGTGATTGGTTTTGGAGTCTCCCAGACAGAAATCACAGTAATTATTAGGCAACGCAAGACCATCTGGGCCTTTCTTGGGAGCTGAGAAGCAGAATGAAAACACCCAGAGAGCATCAGTGCAGTTACTCAAAAGTCAAACAAGGCACCATACATGACCGTCCAGTTGTATAGTGACTTCAGCAACTTAAAACTGAAATCTCTGTGTCAACCTCGAGTGCTTGTCACTTACTTTTAGGCTCCTCGGGCAGCGGCAAGGTCGGCTCACTGATCTCCATCTCTTCTTTCTCCTCACCCTCCTCTTCTGCCAGGTGGGAGTGGGCGTAGTGGTAGCTCAGGCCGGGACGGTTCTTGTAGCGCTTCCCACAGACTGCCACCAACACCAGAAACACAACATGTATGAAAACAACGAAAGCATGAGTAACATCCATGCTATACAAAGTCAGTGGTGAAAGGAAGGTGACTAATGGAAAAGCATGACTAGTTCTTTATGGTGCTAGTTCTGACCAAAATACACTATTAGTGCTGCTCAAAGTAACAGAAACACTTGCTATGATTGTGTCTTTTTTATTATCCAGATTGTTGTCTTTTATGATGATACAGGGACTTGCTGCAATAACCAAAGCCCTACAGTTTCCTACTTAAAACATAGCTGTATATACTGTACAGGAGCAGGGTCTATTGAAACATTTAACACCTGTAGTTACAGTCTAATTATCAGTAAATAATGTATGTATGTATTTTTTGGTGGCAGCAGCACCTACTAAGATTACCTTAAAATCTAAAACAGTATATCTCCGCAGACTCTGAAGACCCTATAGACGTACAAAAATATGATCTGTGCTATCTATTCCATTCTTTGATGTGGTGAAGTGCAGACGTGTGACACAAAGAGGAAATTGCTTAAACCTAACATGTCCCTGTGGTCTCCCGCTTTTTGTTTAATATCGAGATCAGTATAACGACATGATATGTTGGCATATACTGACATCAGAGGTAAAGATGAAGAAGTTTGGGAATATGAAGGACATGCTTTGAGGCAATGTCTTGAGACATGCGTCATTACATCCTCTGTGGTAGACATGTATTTAAGGACAGCAAGATAACATCTCAGCCACTCATACCAACACACATACTGCAGTTAGGAAATGAGACACTGAGTGACTGCAGATACCTTCAATTTAAGACAAGTGGCTGACATGCGGTACCTCACCATTATTTGACTAACTACTTAGAAATGTACTCGTTTTATCTCATGGTTTCAAACACCATCACTCTAAAAATTACATTTGACTGTATATGACCTCTGTAGATCACTAATGTTTGCAACAATAGCTCTGGATATTAATGTTTCTGATCTGAATTTATATTCATTAACCAGAGGGGTAAGAGAAGCCAGTGGGATTGTGTAAGGAGGATTTACTGACTTTAGGGAGGACAAAGATGCCACTGTGTGCAGTCGTTGTCACAGGGGGTGTGTGAGGTTTGTCATAAGATAACACCCAAAGACAAAGTACTTCTTCTTTCACTTCCATAATTTCTCTCATTTTCATTTCCTCAAAGGCTAGTGTCATGTTTCTTCCAACGATCATCTATAGGAATGACTATTCTATGGCACGGTTTTCTCCAGAGCATCTTGGCAAAGTTGCAGAGGACACAGCTAGTCACATGCTGTGTGCTTGTGTACAGTTGCAGAGAGATGTGAAAAATACGCCCCAAAAGTCAAACACGCATCAAACTGACTCAAAACCAAAAGCAGAGGCAGCAGTTCACTCAAAAACATGAAACATGGAATGAGACTTTACAGGGTGCAGAAATGGTGAAAAGGAAAAAAAAAATTGTAATGCAGTCAAATTGCACACATTAAGTAGCAAGACAAAAGACAAAGCACAGAGAGAAAAAAAAAAAAAAAAAACAGCAGCAGGATCCAGCTTCTAATTTATCTAAATCTGTGGGCCGTTCAGGGCCAAATTGAGGGGAAAAAATTACTTTTGTGGGCCACAGCTTATCTTTTGTAGGCTGTGACAGCTCATATCTTTGGCAGATTACAGACTACAGTTTAATTAGGGTGTATAATAACACAGTCTTGACCTTTTCTGAATCTGGTTAATTACATTTAAGTAAATGGTGTAGAACAAAAACATTTACCCCTATGTACTGATCTACAGAAACAGCAAATCTACTTGATGACAGACAAATAAAAACAGGCACTGAAGACAAAAGACAAGGCAGACTGGAGTAAAAAGGAATGAGAGAAATATACCTCTTTCAGAAGGTTTTGAAATATGCTTTTGTTTGATAGTGTCTGAAAGAGAGAAGAGAAGGAGAAGAGAGAGCACAGACAGAGACTCAGAGAAATAGGCTCATAGACCGACAGAGGATCAGTCAGTGCTGCCCTACTGACAACTGCAGCTGAAAGTGAAAATGCTTCACAAAAGAGAAAAAAAACACATCAAGCAGTACAGATAAGTAGTTTGACAAAACCAAAGAAGTGGAAGAAAAACCCCCCATGGAAAGATTTGAAATGCAAGTATAAGAAATGTTTGATATCAAAATGACAAACATAAAATACAGCTAAGCCTGGACTAGCTTTATAGACAATCAGATACAGGAAGTCTAAAGAAAGAGCAGAAAGAAAATGAAATAGAGAGAACATTAAGAGAAAGGGGTGAGGATGTAAAGGAAGATGATAAAGAATGCGGACTAGGGCAAAGTCTTGCTTGATTAGATTACAAACATTACAGCTACTAGCATCTGCAGTGACCCTCTACTCCGACCTGAGTTCACATGCTCTGCTCTCCCCCATCAGGACTCACTGTCACAGGCGTATGGCTTGTCTCTGTCCTCCAATGCTGCTGTATCCAGCTTCTTCCTGCTACTGCCCACTCCTCGACCCTGAGGACAGAAGTATTATCAAAATCAACAGAGGAGCTGCATTTTTTAATGAATCGTAATTCTTATTTGAATGATCCAACATTGATTTTTAAAATCGCAAGATTTATCTTTGCATTTGTGCCTAGTTTGGATGCATGATATGTAAAATGTCTACTTTGTGGAAATTGAGATATTACAATGTGCACAAAAAGGTTATTTGAAGTTAAAAAGTAATGTAGATGATAACTGCAATATGAGTTGTCTTGAGTTGCGACAGTGTAGTAAAGTGAATAATTACAGTACGGCTATGAGATGTGAGGCCCTGCGAGTCAAGTGAACAGTGTATGAATTCTACTTTATTCAGTCTGTCCCTGCCAGGTAGCCAACAATAGCTAGCCAGCTGTCTGCAGATATTAGGCCGATGTCTTGTAAACACAGTTGTGCATAGCTGCATGGGATAGAATTTATGCTTTTAAAATATACATGATGAAGACACCCTTGCAAGTGGTGCAAGTTTTTCATTATTCTTGCTAAAATGTTTTGCACATGCAGGCCAACATTATACAGTCACGTTTTAGTCATGCTGCATTTGCCAAGGAAAATACATCTTTGTTAACAATTATTAGTGGGAAATTTGTCTACAATTTAGTCTCATTTTATGTTCTATTAACAGTGTTGCTCACTTGTTGAATGTTACCAAGATAAATTCTGAGAAAAGCTTAATGCAACATCAGTATTTACCTAATGTAATTGAATCAGACTGGACTTTGTGAATTGAAATCAAATTGGGAGATCAGTGCCGATATCCAGCCCTAGTCAATAGACAGGCTGGGACACACACAGAGTCAGCATAGACTTAAGAGAAGGCGTATTTATGTCTGAGGCAGTTATTTACCTTTCCTTTCCCTTTGCCTCTTCTTTTAGGTGTGTCTTCCTCATAGTCTTCATCATCTAGGTCATCTAGGAAGTCATCTGGCTCAAGGATTCTCTATGTTGAGGCAATGAGAAAACCAGGCAAATTATTGGAAAGTAAGATTTTCTGGAATCCAAACATGTCTTATGGCTTATGCTGAAAACAAGAACCTTTCGAATCCGAGCTGCAGGGTTCAGGCCTCCAGTGTAGTCACTCATGTTTGAATCTTCTTCAGACCCTCGGAGCTCTGTGGTTGTCCGTTTGTCCAAAGACTCTCCCTTCAGCAGGGCCTCCAGGCTGCTGCCATCTGACGACAACAGAGCATCCTTCTTCACTCCTAAATCTAGCTCTATGAATAAAACACAAAGATGCGAGCACAAAAACAAAACACACATTAATATACTCTGATGCAAAAAACATGTAGTGCTGCTTCTCATGTGACTGACTCATTCAGTATATTTATATATATAATAATATTTATATTAATAAATTATTTTTCTATCCCATAAAACATACATGTTATGTTTTAAACCTTGCAGTTTCTCTTAAATGTCTCAAAAGCATACCCTGTAATAGCTTTTTCTTAAAGGTTGACATGGTAAAACGGAGATCGAGCTGAGCTGAGATGAATGCTGTGGTGATACCTGACTTGACAGGAGGGAAGATAAGCCGGGGGTCCTCTGGAGGATGAGACCGCCGTTTCTTCCTCCACCTCCTAGAAGGGTAGGTGTAGAGCTGCCCTGGAGCCATGCCTGAGGGACATTAGAACAGAACTTGTCAAGTTTTTCACAAATTGACAGAAAAAACATTTGTTCTTCAGTTTTCTTAAAACAGCATTTGCCTTTTTTGACTTGTTAGGGGGCACAGCTGGTTTAAAACTTGATTAGATTATGTTACAACTCTTCTTACAACTCTTCTGGAGACTAATAATGATCTCATGTAAACTTAATGTTCAGGTCTAAGCCTTAGATTTTCCACTGAACATGTTTTGTGTTTCACCTGGTCCCCTGTGTCTCTTTTCCATCCAAATGTAGCAGTTGCTTTGAGCCACACCAGTCTGAGAGTCGAGGAACGGCATTCGGACACTCCTCTCAGCACAGAGCCTGGCATTGTAGTTGTGACATTGCTCCATGGCATCTCTGTAGTACTGCTCTCCCAGCCTGACAGAACAAAACCACAGTCAGATGCTGGTTATTAGGTCTATAATGGTTGAAAGACAAAAATCAGCATGTGTGGATTCTCCAAAAACAGTGCGGTCCTACTTCAAACTTCTGAACCTCTCTGTCAGTGTGTTGTCTTTCTCTGTTTTGCTGCCACCTTAGAAACATTAGTGATTGCCTCTGTACTTCAGAACTAAAATCATTTGAGAGAGTGACACAGCAGGTGCTCTTTTGTTGGTACATCAACAACAAAAAGCTTGGTAGTCAGCACAGCACGATGTGTTCTGTGTTTCCATCATAAATATACTCAAATAGACACAGCTTTTCGCTTATTCCCTCTCAGGATAGCTAAAAGCTTCATTACCCCCAAGTGTGACAACCACAATCATGGAAAAGACCCCTTTATGCTTCTTCAAATTCCTGAATGTGTTGTCATCCAACAGCTGCAACTACTGAGGCTGTCAGGGTGCCCTGCAGCAAGGCACTTTAATGTGCAACTACAGTAATATTAGTTGCAGTGGAGCAGATGAACCTTAATGAGAGCAAAGTGGGTTTACTACAGCAAAAAAAGTATTCAGACCCCTTCCATTTTTTCACATTTTGTTAAGTTGCAGCCTTACGCTAAAATAAAAAATAAAAACCTCAATCTACACTCAATACCCCATAATGGCAAAGTGAAAACAGAGTTTTAGAAGTTCTGGAGGTTTCTCCAATCTTGACACAGGATCTATGCCAAAGTGACCAACGGGTTCTTGGTCACCTCTCTTACCAAGGTCCTTCTCCCCGATTGCTGAGTTTGGCCGGGCAGTCATCTCTAGGAAGAGTCCTGGTTGTTTTAAACTTCTTCGATTAAAGAATCATGGAGACCACTGTGCTCATGGAAACCTTCAGTGCAGTAGAAAATTTTTTGTAGCCCTCCCCACATCTGTGCCTCAATGCAATCTTCTCTCTGAGCTGTGCAGGCAGTTCTTTTAACCTCATGGCTTGGTTTTTGCTCTGATATGCATTGTGAATTGTGAGACCTTATATAGAGAGATGTGTGCCTCTCCAAATCATGTACAATCGACTGAATTTACCCCAGGTTGACTCCAATCAAGGTATAGAAACATCTCAAAGATGAGCCAGAGAAATGGGAGGCAAATAAGCTAAATTTCAAGTGTCATAGTAAAGGGTCTGAATACTTATGTCAATGTGATATATCAGTTTTCCCTTGTTAATAAATTCACAAAAATTTCTAAATTTCTGTTTTTGCCAAGTCATTATGGGGCTTTGAGTGTAGATTGATGAGGGAAAATGTTATTTTAAATTATTTTAGCATAAGACTACAACATCACAAAACGTGAAAAAAACTGAAAGGGTCTGAACACTTTCTGAATACATTGCATGCAGTTGTATAAAGGTTTAAATCTAGTGTTCACAGACCTAAGACTTTAATGACCGATCTAATTACTCATTTCTTGTAAAGATGCAATAATTTTGTTTAATGTTGTAAATCTGTTTGTGTTGCCCATCTGCTATTTGGCCAAGACTAAACCGGAAACGGAAGGCGCTTTTCGTGAAAATCTGGTAGTGTTTCTAAATTAAACATCCATCATAACCAGCCAAAAATGTGAAAATTTGCCATGTATGTCTATAGTCCTCCTTTCAACGCCATAGTATGGTTTTATAGGGGAATATGTTTGAAGATACTGTGGTTTTAATTTCTTAGACAGAATTTAATAATGAGCTGACTCAAAGTCATTTGAATACTCAGTTGATAAGTTGACAAAGTTACGTTTGGCAGACACTTAGATAATTAGATATCAGGTAAGTTTCATGTTACCGTGGTTACTAAGGGCTTCGCCTGTTGTTCCTAAGAACGTTTAACAGCAACCAGCTGGACACCTACGCAAAAATAAAGACAACGGAAATAGAAGCACGTTCTGGTACACCCGTGAATGGGTCACTGAAAACTTTAACTTTTTCAGTTCTGAAGAGTTACTACACGCGAGTAGGAAATGTGATAGTACACAGTGGCAATAACCCCCGGGTCTTGAGATGAAAGGAATGGTCATCAAGGCCAGCTTTCATTCATTCTGAACTACTTGGCCAGTCACTCCAGCCTGCGCTAACAACGTTGGCCACAACTACACTGTCTTTAGCTTGTTAGCGTGCGAGCCACCTAGCCGCTGTATCTATTTAACTGATGTTAGGACCGCGCTAAATATTTGGTTCAAAAGACACAACAGGTGACCCTAATATGTCTATGAAAGCATTTAAGATCAAACCAACGCATGTTCTATCACACAGACTCGTTAGTCCTGTTTCAAAAACGTCAACTGCGTGTCTGCTAACTTACACTTGCATACCAGGATGTGAACAGCCACGACGGTTCCGACAGCTTTGGCTAACCTCACTAAGTCAGTGGAAATGTCGCTAAGCTAGCTAGCGACACGGTCGGTGACGGTAGGAGACAGACGTTACGATATGGTCGCGGCGTGTGTCAACTACCCGGGTGTAAGGTATGAAGAAAAGTCCAACACTTACAGTTTGACAACATTCTCAACAACAGCTGCCATCTTGCTTTAATACACGGGGTAAGTGGCCACTGTGAATGTGTGCCCTCTGTTAGGACTTGTAGGCAGATTGAGCAAGAACGGGGTGCTTAGGGCCCCCTACTGGTGGAGTTGTGCAATTGCCAGAGTTTGATTGCTGCAACTCTTGCTGGTTATAACAATTATTTCGATAGAAATGTTATCGTCAGCAGCTCATTTACATGTAGGATAGGTTATCCTTTAATATTACACCATTTAAAAACAATAATTTTATTTATTTATTAGCTTTATTCATATAGCACATTTCAAACACAAAAATTAGCTCAAAGTCCTGTAGTTACAGTAAATGATATCTGAATTCCATTTAACTGCCTCGGGTGCTGGCATTGTGCATGTCATTTCTTACTGGGACACTTGTGTAGGACAGAGGCATTATTAATATTATTAGTAACACCTTTGCTTTTATCACTATGTCATGTCAAAATGTCAGCTGTGAAAAATAAGTATTAGTAGTAGTAGTAGTAGTAGTAGTAGTAGTACATAAATTTTTGTGATATTACATAATTCTGGTATCTTATATCCTGGTGAACAAGACAGACAGGTAATTAAAACAATCCACCAGTGATCTCTGTAGCCCTTTACCTTTACCAAATTACAATCAATACAGGATGAGGCTGTCTGACACTGACATAGATTTTCTGTTCATCACTGGATATTAGTCTTTGTTGTTTTCATGAAAAACCACCAAATGCATTAGTTAACAGTTATTTCATTTAAAAAAAAAGTTTCATTATGAATGTAGACATTTGCTTTTACTGGTTTTATTTGTTATTTCTTGACTATTCTCGTCTCATCATCGCTTGGCTTTTAAATTTGAATGCATAGTAGCTCATTATTTAAACTATAAAGGCCAAGCTTCACATACTGTGTGCAGATGTTCTTTCAGTGCCCCTACATCACTTTTTCAATAAATACAGATAATTTTATCTTCCTGGCTCAGTTTTTGCTGAGGTAGAGCACCATCCTCATCCTCTCCCACTTTTCAGTATAGAGATTATAACCACTGTTTCTCTAAACAAGTCTCACTGAAGGTTGGCTCTGCTCTTTAGATGATGACATCCTTCCCAGCACCACTGATGCACCATAAACCTGCTGTATGTTAGTCATTGCTCAATCATCCTTGACCTCATTTGCTGCAGTTGCATCATTAATTCATTCTTAATGACAGCACTGCAGCAGCTATCTTTCCCACATCCTCTACACTCATACTGCAAGAACTATATTTCACATGTAGGCTACTGTAGTAATATGTTAACATACTCACACTTTATCTCCTGTCAAAAGTATTTTAGTTTTTTATTTTTACAGATCCATTCTGATCTCATCTTTCTGACATATAAAATGGTTCATGAATTCTCTTGCAACAACAGATGTACTGATGGGTGACAAAGTAGAGGAAAAAAAAACGGACATAAGTGTTTTATTATGGTCTTAAGACACCACCAGTCACCAGAACTGCATCAGTGCTCCTTGGCATAGATTAATCATGTCTTGGGGTATCTACCAGAGAAATTAAACAGAATTGTTCCAAAGCATAAGTACTCATTTGGTGTTTTGATGATTTCAGTTGGGTTAAAATTAGGTTTAAAAAACCCCTCATTAAGGGCTATTTGACCTTTATATCACCAGGGTTTTCTGGGTCTCAAGGCTTACAATTTTTAACAGAAAGCCTGCGTAACAAACTGTGGATGTGGTGTTTGAAAGAAGTGGCCATTTAGGAGGCGAGGGTGTAATGAAAGGTCCTTCTGAGTTGCATCATGGGAATATGTTGGATCCAACATTTTTACATATACATCATAACTTGCACTAAGATCTAAAAATCCGAATATCTTTGACCTCTGTTAGTCACCCTAACTTTATGGGAGCACAATACAAAATGTCTGAAATACCCCTTTAACCAGTCATAATCAGTATGACATGCCGCCCCAAAATGAGCCTTAATTTAGTATTTTGATGAAAAATGTTTCTGATAACAATGCACTTTACTTCAAATTATATTTTGACCATTTATAGTTGTGGTATATTGAGATAGTATAATATATTAATATTTAAAAAAAAAAAACAGTTGAGTCATGGATGAAAAGTGCATTTTACACGTTTGCCAACAAACCATAATTAAAACATCCAGCACCTAATAGAGGAAAGGCAATAGAGCAGTGGCTAACCTTTTTTCAACATAAAAAACCCAACATCATGAATTTGATTAAACCATGTTTTATTATTCCTAATATTAGATGTAGATACACAAGTCAACAAACATTATTTTCAATTTGTAATGAAAATGCTCCACAGCACACTGACATCGTGTGGAAGGGTCTGGTATTACAGACACGTACCTGAAAATGGACAGCAGTTATAATTTTTGCAATAAGTTGCATTAGTAACAGTAGTAGTAATAGTAACAACAGTAGCAATAATGATAATAATAGCAATTAATAATAGTAGTGGTATTAACAACTCTGAATTACAGAGGGAGGAACAGACATTCGTCAAAAGTAATGAGAAATGAAGGTAGTCGGACAGGCTTATCAAATGCTGCAAGACAGACCACTGGATGAAAAAATACAAGCTCCCACTAGACAGCAAAATATCCTGCCTTCTTCTAAAAAAGGAAGCTCAAATTGTCACCAGTCTGTTTTCACTCATATCTAATACTCAACAAGTAAAAGTTGTTTTTTTCTTCAGTAAGTACTCCATTGTTACAAGTACTCTCAAAACCAAAAACTCATCTCTTTGACATCAATAATACATACGTTCCAAGTTCTGGTCAAAGCTCACCAGTAGCACAATGTTATTTTAAAAGGATGCCATATGCAACATCGAATCACAGCCAGCTGAGGACATTTCCAAAAGACTGGATTGCCAGGGTCATTCTGCATTTAAAATACAGTACAGTATTAATGTGTGAGAGTGTGTGAAGGAGAGAGAGAGCTTGTGTACAGTATGTCAAGTATGAGAAATATTTTTGCTTCACATGACCAATTTGGCCAAACTAATTTGAATCATCACACATTCAAATGAGCTGATAAGAAAATACATTGTGTGACCTTTAAACTTGAACTCCCAAACATCAACTGGATGCTGTGCCTGATGTCCAGAGCAGAGAAAAGGTAGCAATAGTCACTAAAACAGCTCATCCACTGAGGAAGAATGACACCTCCAACCGAAATTGTGCACAATATACGCTGACTGCGTTGGCTCACTTATGTATGCAATGACCTCATTAACCTGGTCAGCCTTTAGTATGGCTACTTAAACTAGACTGAAACTAGGGGCTCTGTCACATATTTGGGATACAAAGTCCCACGAACAGAGACAAGGCAGGTTTGATAAAGTTTGGACTGTACTGTTAACTGAACCCAGTTCAATATTCTCAAAGCAGATCTTCAGATACTCCTCTCCTCTGATTTGGAGGGTATCTGATTTGAGCAATGGTTCCACATTCATTTGAGACTGGAAAATATGGCCAACCTGTTTAAACTGCAACCAAATGCAAGTTTACTTCCAGCTGTTTGTGTGATCACAGCAGTTTGGTGTTTCATTCCTGTGAACTAATCAGCCCTCCAAGGCATGGCACACACATCCAGGCAAGTACCAGCTGTAAAGAGTTGCTTTCAAGATGTAATGAATTACAAATAATTGATTACCTGCAACCTACTTATAAGATAATCCATAAAACCTCTTGAATTCAGATTTCTTGACCAGTAACTTCCTGTTGCATTTTGGCAGTTACAAAAGGCAAATTAACACTTGGATTTAAGTGACTGACTATAATAACAGTTACCTACAAATCCAATGGTCTCAAGATATTTATATAAAATTGCACTACTGCCTACAGTGTCACAATATACTGTTAATGCCTTTTTCCTTTCAAACATATACAGTATTTGAGGAAACTAATAAACACCTATCTTTTTTTTTTTACATTAAGTATTAACTATATTGAATTGCAATTATTTGTTTTTAGAGTATTGTAGATGCCAATTACATACAAATAGTTACTCTCCAACCCTGAATATGAAGTGATCTAATGTTTTCAGAGTACATCAACACAGAAGAGAACAGATGCTTAGACACATACAAGTATAAACCTACATGAAGTCATGCCACATATGCAAGAGCGCAAAGCTCATCTAAGAGAGAATTTAGGACTTTTCCCTCTCTGCCATCACTAGTGAGCAGAGCTTTCCATTGTCTCTGTTACCTGCATATATAATCCACTGACATACATTAGATCATTGCCACAGGGCACATTTTTAACATTCTTATCCTTGTACTTAGAAAGCTTCCTTTAGGACTGTTTGAATGGAAGGTGGGTTTGTAAAAAGGGTTCAGTGTATCTGTAGTGGGTTCAAGTAAGGCTCAGTACACCTCTCTCTGTCAGGTAGCACATAAAGCTCATTCTTCACTGCCTATCCAATCTCACTTCCACACCCCTCACTTCACCTGTCATGAGACCTGTCAGCTGTCCATCTGTCCTGCTCACGTGTGCTTCAGCTTTTTATCTACAAACTGCCCCATACCTTCACACCAGTAGATGGAGAGAGAACGGAAATAGTTATTAGAAGACAGAAACAGAAATAATAAAACCGTCTTGAGGAACTTCATTGGTAAAGTCATCTTACTTACATATAATAAAAACCAAAAGCAAATAAAAGCTAATTTTGTGAAATCATTCCAGTAATATTATATTGAATTTGTGTCTGGTTTTCGCCTGCATTTGCGTACGGAAAAGCAGCATCCATCTGGCCACGTTTGATTAGGAATAACATAAACGTGCAAAATCCACAGCACCACAACTCGCACGCACGCACACACACACACGCACGCACGCACACGTGCACGCACACACACACACACACACACACACACACACACACACACACACACACACACACACACACACACACACACACACACACTAGAAAACTAATCTTCTCTGCTTTGTACAGAAAAAAACAGAAAGTTGAAAATCAAGCAGAAAAGATCACTCAAAGAAATAATCAAATACAGGCAA